GTGGTTGGATAGGGGGGTCGACTGTACAGCATTAGACAATCGGATAAGGAGAGGCGCTTCTTCGGAAGACTTTCTATCGAAAACGGTCCCTATTTAGATGCCGGACGAGTGAAAAAAGTCTTGAAATGGCTAGCCATTTGGTCATTCGTAGAGTCATTGGCGATTATCATCAATGTTCGGTGCTCTGATCGACTCGGTTACTAGTGGACCCGAAAATTAATGCATTTTTTAATTCTTATATAATAAAGAATAAAGAATGCACGCAGTAAACAATTTTATATTTAGAATTTTAAATCAAATTAAATATCTATAAAATTTATGTAGAAACATAATCTTCGGAGGTAAATACGTATTTTGTCAGTTATTTTAAATATTTTTCACAACCTCCTTTTTTTGGATTTATTTACAAATGCGAAGATGACAGTTCAATCCAGCTTATCGTTTCACCATATTTTCGTACTTATAACGCGGGTTATTTGTGTTTTAAATACGCTTTGAAAGGGTATTTATGCAATGGGGCATTATGCGTGCGTGGCAACGGAAGTGGGATATATTTTCATTCTAGGAATTTATTGCGGGCTATACGCACGAAAACGCACTCAAATTACGTAATGACAGATATACTCGATTGATCTGTAAACTTGACTACGAACGAAAGCTTTGTAACGCCTTACGCAACAATAGCGAGATATCATTTCGATTTTATTTTACAATTTGTGAGAAATTGTAATTTCTTATTTTACAAAACAACATCGAAATACGCCGTTAATTAGCTTAGAAAGTCACCAGGATCACTGTATAAATGTTTATTTTTTATTTTCACATTGGAATACCGAAGGCCTCTTTTTCACTCCGGTTAAAGATCCCAATCCGTAATACGGGAGGATCGATGGATGGTTAAGGATTTGGATCCGATATATCTTTATTCAACCACATGTGAATGTTTGAGATTATGACTCAAATTCTAATTTTAGTACCCCGTGAGAAAGTCCATTCAAAATTACATTTTGAATTGTACCTCAATAAGCCCTAGGCCCCGAAAAATCTAGATCCGCCACTGTATAAGATGAATAATATTCTGATGTTGGTGCGTAGAAGATAATTAGAGCGTATTAGCCTACTAATCGGGATCAAAATTAAATGTTGCGTAAGGCACGCGTAAAGGTAATTTCGGCACTGGTTACAGCTATTTGACCGGCATTTTCGAAGACAGATTAACTGAAATTTGGGGAATAAATGACGGGTTATTTAGTTTTTCTTTCGTTGTATGGCGAGAAGTGACGTTGCTCTTCACCTAAATAAGGAAAAAACAATTACGTGTATCACAAAAGATAAAAAAATATATAAATCTTGTAAGATACGTTAATATATCGTCATCGGTAACACGCGATTCTTTCCGAAAGCTTTACAGAATCGTCGTTTACTCCGTAANGATGATTTTTTTCCCTATTGGGAAACACTGTACAAAATACAGTAGCATCCTGTCACCTACTGTAAAAGGTAAAGTCTACTTATTAAATGTGTCTTGATTTATTCCCGTAGACATTAAGATCGTTTTAGGCATATTTATGGGGCTGTAATTTAAAAGAATTGTAGATATAAGTTTCCATTGTCGTCCGTCTGTCTGTTTTTCCTTAATCTCGTGAACAGAGTTAGAAAGATGAAAGCCGAGATCAGGTTTGGACACAATAATGGCAGGAAGTTCTGATTGGCTGTATAGGAACTTTTGGTACAAGCTGAAAGTCACGTTATTTCAATGGAAACTTTTCCCCGAAAGGAGTTACAGTAGATAGATGATCCGCACGACACAATCGCTAAAGGAACAGTATGATATGGGCAAGCCACTGTTAATTTGAAGATGGCGTGGATATACTTTAAATTAAATAAATGAAATATGATTAAAAATTGAAGCCCGGCATTGTGACCGTGTCACAATAAATAATAATTGCTCGTTTGAAATAAAAACACGGGCGATTTAATAATTTTATAAATTACATATAATTAAAAACGACTTATTCGTTAAACTACTGCATATATAATAATGGAATTTGAAGCGTAAAAGTGTGAATATCTTTAAGTAATTTTTAATACGGAAAATATAAAGTGATTACGACATAAATTTAGAGTTAAATAACCGAGAATTTGCAAGAATTTAGCTGAAAGAAAGAATTTTACGCATTTGAATGATTCATTCGATTGTGAAAATCATTCGTGTTGGATTGAATTGGTAGAATAAGACAACGCAGCACACGGGCGATCTTCAAAGGAGGGGTTCCTCCCGTTTAGGTGCCTCTCTAATTTTTCCACATCGGGTCTCTGCTTTTATCTAACTCGTTCTCGAGATTAAGGAAGGACAGACAGCCTTCCCGATGCTCTACCTGCAGAGAGACTCAATATTGGATGAACACGCAACCGGGTTGGGAACAATTAGCTGTAAGCCGGTGCTACAGATGCACGGATTTACTACTTAGCTAAGAGTTGTACGGCGGCAACGCAAGCCTGTAGCAAGTACATTGGTCACTCCTATAAGGAGTGTAAGTGCATTAACTACACGAAGGCGAATAAGAAGTCCGGCTTCAGCTGGGTACAGGCCACTCTACCACGCGGTGCCAGCTGCCCGTGATATACAAGGGAGCTCGAAAGAGTTAAGGCACAGTCTGATTACGGTGAGTAATAAGGGAACTTAGTTTGCGTTCAATCCTTTTCTTACACACAATCAGAGGGACGAAAGATGTGGCTGTACGATACTGCAGTTTAACGCTGAAAAGAGCTGTGCTGCAATTACCCAGCTTCTGGTAGAGGTACAGTACGTGTGTATCTGGTTCCCACCTATTTGTTGTGGGGACATGTCGGAGCACACCGTTTGATCGGGGTTAGTGGCTAAAGCCTCTGATGGCTTATTTTTGCAGCTGCGGGCACCACCCAAGGCCCTTGTTCATGAGCTAACCGACGGTGGTGCTTAGCGGGATCATTGATCCCTCAAACTTTAAAATCAGCAGACGATCAGTTGTTAGTAGTTGCAGTGCGGCTGCAGTGCTCTAGGTGTTCAGATCGTTAGTAGCATCCTGTTCTGTTTGACGTTAGCCCATTCCTTCCATCGAATACCACACACATAGCAGATAACACGCTAAAGGCTCATGTTGTACATGTTCCGGATCGTTTCTCCACTAAGAACATAGTCATGTGTGGATAGTGCCGTTATCGTAACGTTTCTTGTTTCTCGAACACGCCTCAGATGGAGGGTCCAGCATAGTCTGGTGGATGATGACACGGGGGTACGTTAAGTCGTTGACTTTTCAGATTCTCCATGCGAAAAGTCATTCCAAGCGTTTAACACGGCCGGATTGTATCGAAAGCTTCAAGTACTCAGACAGCATACGTGTATTGTTTACAGGGGCGGATCTACATAGAGATTAATAGGGCTTAAGCCCTGGACCCCCACTGTCAAGGGCCCACAAAATTTGAATTATTATCATAAATTTTTAATACTTTTTCATTATAATATATTTAATGTGTAGATATGACGGGCTTTATAAGAGTCCATACGACGTTTATCAACAGCCATTCTGTTGATAATCGTCGTTTAATGTAAACTCTGTCTCTGCAATCTGCTGTATAAGTCAAAACACTTCAGTGATCACTGGGTGCCAGACAGGCCTATGATTAAAACATAGTTTCTTTGTACTCTGTAGTGCCATTTGGTGGAGCAGAGACAATTTACTCAGAGTTATTATATGAGGCTCGTTATATATATGAGACGGACGACAGTGGGAATTTATAAGTGTACAATTTTTCAAATTGCAGTTCAAAAAATTTATTACATGCAATTGTACAGAGCTATATAATTGACCAAGCGCCACTGTTTGACGAACACACCAATGAAAGTTATGAAAATGGGTTATGTAGGGGCACACAAGTCAAAAAAGTTGGTAACCGCTGATCTGAACAACATAGTTAATGATAGTTTTTTTTATAAACGTATATAACGCAAATAAATAAATTTATATTATAATAGACTTAAATTTATCAAATTATCTGCGGTTTTGCATAAGTAGAACGTAAGATTCTAGTATAAACGCCATAATATTATATACGATAATTTCGAATCGCATTAAGTGATCTATTATCTACTACAGTATACATACATTATACCTATTGTGATTACTGTACACCTAACTTTTGAGCTATTGTATAAAATATGACTTTTTCTTATCTATTCGGACATATGCTTAATTTCTATGTATAACTGTAAATATGTACAGTAAAAGAAATTTTAATAGAACATTGCAATATATTATTGGACAAATTTTTGTTACACAGTTTTACCAGCAATAGAAAGAAACAATGCACTCTACAGTCTGCATGTTCTTCTTAACGTTCGGTAACGTTACAGGCATTAGGCAACCATTTTTAATTAATTAATTGTAATACAAATGCCAAAACAAAAGTCATACGGTAAAAAGGTGTCCCGAGTCCAGAAATGTAAAAATTTTATGGGGAGTCATTTTTTGACCGATGGCCATACTTTCTTTCCATTATACGTAATAACTGGGAAAGTAAAATCTCATTTACTTCATCGATGTTTAAGTTAATATTGTGGATTAATTTTTTACTCGTATTAATTATAACACGAATTAATTAAACTCTTTTTCTTTTATTCAGATGGACATTTATGTTAATCCCCTGGATGCGACGAATCCGAGAAAACCTCCTCTATCAGCTAATCCATACAAATTTCGTGCAATATTTGCCTGTTCTCTCTGCTTTATGTTTTTTGGATTCTTCTTATTAATTGTAGGAGCCATACTAACAGCTACCAACAGTTCTTTCACCGACAAAAACTCGACAAACGTAGCGGGCCCAGTCGTCTTAGCAATAGCAATTTTATTTATATTTATAGCAATAATATTGTGCTGTATGGCAAAACGTGCCTACGTCGTCTATAAGAGGTATTACGTTGGTCAAAACAACGTGAATATTTTCCCAAATGTTGGCAAGAATTTTCGAAATCGTTTGTCTAGTTCCGATCGAAATTCGTCCGAGTGCTCCGACCCTCACTCACCCAATTCACTTAACAAGTTTGATGGAAATTCATTCGATTGCGCTAAAGCTCATCACATTCTAAATTCGGTCACTGTCGATCAGCCAACATCACATTTTTGGTCTTCAAACACTACTTCGCATTGCACGTCCGATGTTGGAGTATCTACGACTTGCGTGCAATCCGACTCATCCTGTGATATGTCTTGTGATAATTGATATAACATTGAAAAATGTATATATTTTTATTTATTATTTATTTATTTCGAAACTACTCGATGTTTTTTTAACTCTTAAACTACGAAAATTACTTGCGGAACCGATTGATTGATTAGGTGAGATACCAATAAATTGCAACCAGAATTACGTTCATTATACGTAAACCCATTCCGTAATGGGATCGACCAGTAGAAGACAGAGGGGGAAGTGCCCTAACACATATTATACACGATAAACTGATCATTCGGATAGTTTTTCCTCACGTTATATATCTCGACTTGGTGGAATACGCTTTTGTGTATTTGTACTTAGTTGAACATTTAAATAATTTTATTGAAATAAAAATATAAATAATTATATTTGTGTGTTTTTTAATTAAATAATCGTGTAAATCTGTCTTTGGTGGGGTTTGGGTATTGTGACAATGTCGTAAATATCCAATCGACGATTGGTTTTAATTAGTGTATGTAATTATTAATCTGTTGTGAATATTTTGTATCTATAAGCTTTACGGCGTTATATACAATGTGTTTCCTCGATTAGGCGCAATAAAAGACTGTTTTGGTTCATCACATTATCGTTAGCCAGGAAAAAAAAAGGCTGCGGCAGACGTTCTGCGCATAGAATTCAATCGTCCGATTGTGAGACGTTAAACTTCGTATACGATCCTTATTGAACTGGGACCGATTAAAACCGCGTTCTCGTTCCCGACGAGTTTGTCCTCTTTAAATTAACATTATTTTAACCAGGTTCTACTAATTACCTGGAATTACTATAATCTAAACTCCATTGAAAAATCTGGGTGTTTCTACTGGATTAAAGCAGTATACGAGGTGGTAACGACGATGAATAATAGTGCGTTATTAATTAAGAAAATTTCGGGCCACGTGCCAAATTGTTATCGGAGCCTCTCAAACATATTAATAATGTCATTTGTTTTGTTTATCACTATATCGCGGAGAAAACGCCAATGTTTTCTGTTCAAACTGTTAACAATACGCTTAAAATTTTTATTTATTTCTAAATTTACAAATGAGGTAGCGTGATCGTAGGTAATTGCCCGATTTATCTAGATGTAAGTCCGGCTTCGATAACAGTTGATAGCGGGACAATGATTCCAAATAGTTGTATCGATTAGTCGACCGAGATAACGTCTTATCGTATCAAAGGACGACAGTGACACCATAGTTAACCGTGCCGATAATAGTTCTCGTTATCGTAAACAGCTATCACGATTTATGACCATTAAAAATAGACAAATTATTATAACGTACATAAAGTTGTTTTATTGTATCAGATTCCTTACTGGATTTTACCCATTTTACGTTATATTTTTATTTATTGCATTTTAGCCAATGCGTGTTTGTTTAATGCGAAACTTTTCTCTGGGTGAATTATTGTAGATAAATAAAAATGTATGTATTTTGTAATTGTTTTTACTTTAAAATAACGACTTCAGTCGTTAAAAGTTTATTATTATTTAATATTTAAATTCGTAATCCTTCAGTTCTTATAAGGGTCTGTCTGGGTCTGATATAATCCCGCATTTATCTCTAATAAAGGAAAATGAATTAAAATCTTGTCGGCAGATGGCAGGTGATGTAGCAAAAAGTTACGAAAAATTGTTAGAGAAATTTCGCGAATGTATTTGTCGCGCTGACGTCACATTTTTACTGTCGCGAGAGGATTGATCGGCCATGGAATCGATCGCCGCAGATCAGGTTTTCCATTAATTTGTAGGATGGATCGGGTTTGTTTTATCACCAGTAACCAGTGGTTGGATAGGATATGGGAATACAGTCTACCCCCCATAACACTGTTGATTATTCCGTTTTATATGAATTCCATGTTGTACGAGTCACTTAGATTTTGCAAATACGTGAGCCGTTCACAGCCCGGCTCACGTATTTGTAAAATCTAAGTGACTCGTACAACATGGAATTCATATAAAACGGAAAAATCAACAGTGTTATAGGGGGTCGACTGTACAGCATTAGACAATCGGATAAGGAGAGGCGCTTCTTCGGAAGACTTTCTATCGAAAACGGTCCCTATTTAGATGCCGGACGAGTGAAAAAATCTTGAAATGGCTAGCAATTTGGTCATTCTTAGAGTCATTGGCGATTATCATCAATGTTCGGTGCTTTGATCGACTCGGTCACTAGTGGGCCCAAAAATTAATGAATTTTTTAATTCTTATATAATAAAGAATAAAGAATGCACGCAGTAAACAATTTTATATTTAGAATTTTAAATCAAATTAAATATCTATAAAATTTATGTAGAAACATAATCTTCGGAGGTAAATACGTATTTTGTCAGTTATTTTAAATATTTTTCACAACCTCCTTTTTTTGGATTTATTTACAAATGCGAAGATGACAGTTCAATCCAGCTTATCGTTTCACCATATTTTCGTACTTATAACGCGGGTTATTTGTGTTTTAAATACGCTTTGAAAGGGTATTTATGCAATGGGGCATTGTGCGTGCGTGGCAACGGAAGTGGGATATATTTTCATTCTAGGAATTTATTGCGGGCTATACGCTCGAAAACGCACTCAAATTACGTAATGACAGATATACTCGATTGATCTGTAAACTTGACTACGAACGAAAGCTTTGTAACGCCTTACGCAACAATAGCGAGATATCATTTCGATTTTATTTTACAATTTGTGAGAAATTGTAATTTCTTATTTTACAAAACAACATCGAAATACGCCGTTAATTAGCTTAGAAAGTCACCAGGATCACTGTATAAATGTTTATTTTTTATTTTCACATTGGAATACCGAAGGCCTCTTTTTCACTCCGGTTAAAGATCCCAATCCGTAATACGGGAGGATCGATGGATGGTTAAGGATTTGGATCCGATATATCTTTGTCCAACCACCTGTGAATGTTTGAGATTATGACTCAAATTGTAATTTTAGTACCCCGTGAGAAAGTCCATTCAAAATTACATTTTGAATTGTACCTCAATAAGCCCTAGGCCCCGAAAAATCTAGATCCGCCACTGTATAAGATGAATAATATTCTGATGTTGGTGCGTAGAAGATAATTAGAGCGTATTAGCCTACTAATCGGGATCAAAATTAAATGTTGCGTAAGGCACGCGTAAAGGTAATTTCGGCACTGGTTACAGCTATTTGACCGGCATTTTCGAAGACAGATTAACTGAAATTTGGGGAATAAATGACGGGTTATTTAGTTTTTCTTTCGTTGTATGGCGAGAAGTGACGTTGCTCTTCACCTAAATAAGGAAAAAACAATTACGTGTATCACAAAAGATAAAAAAATATATAAATCTTGTAAGATACGTTAATATATCGTCATCGGTAACACGCGATTCTTTCCGAAAGCTTTACAGAATCGTCGTTTACTCCGTAAAAATTCACTTTATTAATTATAAAATTCATTTCGGAAAGATTCTAAAAAGAATTAAACAATATAATGAGCAAAAAATTTGTATTTACACTATTTTATGTTACGAAATTTAAAATGGATAATTAAGAAAAGTCTGGGAAGCTTCTTTAAGTTTAAAATAAATAAATAAACTTCTTTCATTTTATTGATATTTTTGATTTTAAATGATTTGACAGACTTTAATGTTTTGTAGAATAAAATGACAATTTTTTTCCTTTATCAATTGTAAGTTTTGCTGCTATTTATGCAAACAGAAATTAGGCAATTTTTTTGTTTAATTTATTAAATATTATCAATTATTTTAACAAACATTTCCTATAAAAATATTAGGAAAACATATTTTTTTATTATAAAAATACTTATGTTTACTCGTTAATCCGTTGTAAATACTAATTATATCCGTCTAGAGTGGCAATTTGTTTAGAAAATCCGTCTAGACAGGAAGATTTATTACGAGATTTGTTCTCTCCGTAACATCCGGCTATCGAATAGGATGCGACGGAGAAAAGAAATCTCTTGACACACATATATTTTACAATAAATTCAATTATGCTATGTATAATATGTAAAAATCGCCACTCTTCGGTTATCTAGAAACTAAATAAATAATGTTGAAAAATGCAAATCGTCATTAATGAAGTACGATTACGTATCGTAAGAAATTATTGGAAAATATAGTGGTCTTTATTATGTACTTAAAGAAATCCTGTCTTCTAGCGAGTGCTTTTAAGCCATACGTTAGTCTTTGATTTTAACAGGGACAAACTAAGGAAAGCGATGTTATTTCATTGCCGACCCTTTCTTATGCCACAATTTGTTCATACCCGAAACTGGAACGGAATCGGATGTGGCTCTAAACAGAAGAAAGTCAAAGTCTAAGAATTATGTTATAGAAATGAGTTTGAGTTTAAAAGTCACACTGTTTGGCCGTAACAATTTCGTTTACAACACGTACAATGAAAGGTACTCTATTTATGGGAAAGATGCATTCGCCAGTGTTCATTGGCACTAACAATAGTTGCGCTATATCGAGATCCGACTGCATATTTATTTTATTACATGAATCGAAATCATTTCCTAAGATTTGCTCCCGAATCCTGTTTTGGATCCGTGGCCTAAACCTGGCATTGCGAAGCTTACTGTTTCATTTTCAGACGTCGAGTCGTTTATTTAAATTAATGACGATAATTGTCTTTAGAAGTTAAATATGTCAATTATGTGATTGTAATTAAATGTAATAACAGATTTCTAACGATTTCTTCTGTTTTTTCCTCACTCTGCATCCGCTAAATTAAAATTATCTTTTGTTTTGTGTACGGATCTATTGTGAATAGATCCGTAATATAAAATAAATCTAATAAAAAATAGAAACTAATTAAATATTTATACTTTTATAAAAAAATATAACAATTGATAATTATATTAAATTACATTAGAGAATCTCGTCTTTCTACATTTTATCCCACGCAGACAAGCTACCGTTTATCTGGGATCAACGCCATTTTTCCTTGACTCATTTACTTCTCGACTGACGATTTCCTCTATTTTTCTCTCTTATTACGAATTTATAAGAAAGTGTTGTATTATTTATCCATTATTTTATAATAAATACCTCGTTTATTTTATGGATATGTTAGGCAATTTCGCAAAAAGAGATTAAAATTTCAAGTAAAAATGTCTTAAAATTCAAGCATTAATATACCGAATTAATGCGGAATAAAATCTTAAGAACCCCGTTTCAATCGCGGGTAGCGACTTATTTTAACACTTTACAAATAATTGCGTTTACACCATTGATATTTGGATTAATTTGTAGATTAATTTCTTATTCCAAACATATTATTTATTATTGATGATAATATTAATTACACCTTTTTTTATTTGAATGGATAATAATGCCAACCCTCGGAATACAACGAATCCAAGAAAACCTCTTCTATCGGTTAATCCATTCAAAATTCGTGCAATATTTGCCTTCTCTGTCTGCTTACTGCGCTCTGGATTCGTCGTGTTAATTACAGAAATAGCATTTATCAAAAGAAAGTGAAAAATTTGCTAAATGCGCGAAAGAAAAATCCCGGGTGTAGTTTTGATAGAAGTTCATCCGAGTGTTCTGACCATCCTCGCTCCCAATTCAATTAACAAATCTGGTCGAAATTCACCCGATTCCAGTAAAGATCGTTACATTTGCCATTCAGTTGACATCGAACCACCTAAGTGACATTTTTGGTCTTCCGATTATGCTCCATCTTCTGACTACACTCGGCATTACACGCGCGATTCATCTACACGCGTGAATATTCTGCTCATCCTGCGGTATGTATTGTGATTGAAAGACACGCATATATGTGTTTATTTATTCGAACTCTATATATTTACCAATTGTTCGTGCTTAGAAACAACGTAAGAAAAATAAATTCAAACTTCAAATTTTCGCTAAGTTTACGAATTTTTTAATCGTTATTATTATTGTCAAATGATGTAGAACGACATAATTTAGAAATTCTGTGCGCTGCTGCTTTTTTTTTAATAAAACACAACCGTTATAAATTAATGAATTTCAGAAGTTGTGTACTGTAATTGCTACTATTTACAGGAAAGGTTGTTCGTCGGCAATCATTCTCAGCGAGTAAAATTCACGTGTGTAGAAATAACACGTGGCAAAGATTCGAAGACGGTAAACTAAAATTTCACTGATATATTTTCTTGTTTTTGTCGTTCAGCTCCTTTCCACGGCGAGAAATGCCTGTCATTTCGTGCCAATAAAATATCAAAAATACCAAATATTTACACAGAATATGGTACGTAGTTGTTCTGACTAATTACGCCAAAAGTTGTTTCTTAGCAATTGTCAAGTTGTGTAATAAAACCTTTCCTAGTATATTGTTATTGTGACGTTGCGCGAAAACTACAATAGTCTTCGATTTCAACTACAGGCCTATATATTTTTAATCGCGCTACCAAGACACTTTTATGCTAATATTTTAAACCAACCGTTTGATTTTCAGAATTTACATAATTTAATACAACATATATAAAATTACAACAAAATAATAAATTATTAATAAATTTTACAGCCTAAAACTTCTCCAGTTTATCCTATTTAATGCAAATCAACACCTACATGTACGTACAACATATTGTACAACACGAGCTTACGATCGATACACAAACTACAAAATGATTCATATGACAAAAGAAAGTATACTGCTGTACATAATTAAAAGAGCACGCCACATACCAAGTATTTTTAGACCTATTTATAGTCTTCTTACAAATAACTTACATTCTTACTTTAAAAAAAATGGCGACGTATTGCAAATAGTTCGACGTTCGACATTGAACTGCAGTAATTAAACTACGAAACTGGATTAGAAACGGCAGAATACTTCACACGTAAGAAGAAAGTTATTTTAGTCCCGAGTGCGCAGTGTCGACCGAGACTAAACATAGCCGAGTGAGTATACGAAAGCCAGTAGTGTCATTTAATTGTTCTCCGACGTCAAGATTTGTCAATGGATTCAAATTAGGTATAAAATTTAATTATCTATAAAATAAATCTGTTTATTTTTAAGTGGGTTTAATAACGATTGGATAAATGTTATTGAATTCATAATCATGGTTTGTTCGTATGACGTTAGCGTTGTTCGTATGACGCAATTTGTCGGACGAAATACTTGATTTTTATGAATGACTGCGTGACAAACGAGACCCTCCTTTTAGAATTTTATATTGTTTTATCAATGGTGCAATGCGTTTAGTTCGTTATTTATATTGTTTATATTTGACGTGTTGCGTAAGAATTCGACTAGTTCTTCTTAGAACGTCACGCGTTTGATTTTAAAATATTTAAGTAAAAGTATTGATTCGAATAAAGTATTTTAAATTTATTTCTGTTAAATACCTAATTTATTGTTATACGTACTGTACGTATTATAAAAATGTTTACGTGTACTTAAAAGTATATTGAAAATTCACTTAGAAGACGTTACGTAACTCGTTTAATACTCGCAAAGTTGTCTTTAATTGCAATTTGTTTGAGCAAATAGCGGACACTCGAATACGCCAGATTCCGAATGAACACGTGCTCAATGTTTGAACATTTTCTGGGCGTTTGAACGCGTAATAAATGCGTGAAATTATGCTTGATGTTTGAATATACGAGCGTTAATATTGTATTATTACTCCATCTTTGTCGATACTTTAAAAAACTGTCATTGTATACATTTTTAAAATGGTATGTAAGAGTTGTTAGTATAAAATATGATAGTAATTATTTTCCTTACAGGGAAAAAATTGCAGTTAACTGAAAAATGCTCAGAGTGAAGTCTGTATACTTTTTGTTCTTATGATGCAGTCGTAATCAATATCAATAATTAAAGGAGAAAGAAATAACAGATTAAAATGACGTCGCACTCGAAAGACGTAAGTGCCAACAATTAAAAATACCACGTTTAAGATTATCGTAAATAGCAATAAATATAAATTAAATGGGTAATATTATGGTACATTTTGCAACAGCATTTATATTTGAATGCCAGTAGTGTTTGGTTATACCCTGTATAATGCAATTCAGGTAACGAGTTACAAAACCAAGTAAAACACTTGAGAAGAGTTGCGTTATTTAATATGTAGTAAGTATGCGCACACATATATAGGTATAATGCCTTTTAGTTACCCGGCTGTTATAACAGAGGAAAAGTATGGCGATTCGGCAAGAAATGACCCCATAAAAATTAACATTTTTGGACTTAGGGCACCTTGAAACGTCGAGAAATGTAAAAAAAATTCGGGATAATTTCTGTATGTGTAGATGTATAGTAGCCTATATGTGGGGGGGGTACGACTTTGTTTACCCTGTTTAAAGTTTAATTCTTCCTGCGCTTTCTGTCGATAATTTCTGCAATTTTGCAGGAGTTTATGTATTAGGAGATCGACGCTATTAGAGTTTGGTGGTTAAAGATCGATGGGGTGAAGAGATAATAGGGGTCGCGTGTCTCTCCAGTAGGGTCGAACTTAATGACGATTTTACTCGTTATTAGCATTTACAATTTTTATAAAGTTCGTCCGTACCCTCAAAAGTAAGCTTTTTGCCGTTTTATAATAGTTAAAAATATAAAATGTTTTAAAATAAAATATCATAACAGATGGAGCCACCAAAATTTTAAATGTTGCCCGGAAAGTTGAGCAACTGGTTGCTATTTATCGCACTTTTTAAAATAAATAAAATACAAAGCGAAATGCTCTTCGTGAGTTTTTGTTTATTTTACAAAGCAGCANTATTTAATGTGTAGATATGACGGGCTTTATAAGAGTCCATACGACGTTTATCAACAGCCATTCTGTTGATAATCGTCGTTTAATGTAAACTCTGTCTCTGCAATCTGCTGTATAAGTCAAAACACTTCAGTGATCACTGGGTGCCAGACAGGCCTATGATTAAAACATAGTTTCTTTGTACTCTGTAGTGCCATTTGGTGGAGCAGAGACAATTTACTCAGAGTTATTATATGAGGCTCGTTATATATATGAGACGGACGACAGTGGGAATTTATAAGTGTACAATTTTTCAAATTGCAGTTCAAAAAATTTATTACATGCAATTGTACAGAGCTATATAATTGACCAAGCGCCACTGTTTGACGAACACACCAATGAAAGTTATGAAAATGGGTTATGTAGGGGCACACAAGTCAAAAAAGTTGGTAACCGCTGATCTGAACAACATAGTTAATGATAGTTTTTTTTATAAACGTATATAACGCAAATAAATAAATTTATATTATAATAGACTTAAATTTATCAAATTATCTGCGGTTTTGCATAAGTAGAACGTAAGATTCTAGTATAAACGCCATAATATTATATACGATAATTTCGAATCGCATTAAGTGATCTATTATCTACTACAGTATACATACATTATACCTATTGTGATTACTGTACACCTAACTTTTGAGCTATTGTATAAAATATGACTTTTTCTTATCTATTCGGACATATGCTTAATTTCTATGTATAACTGTAAATATGTACAGTAAAAGAAATTTTAATAGAACATTGCAATATATTATTGGACAAATTTTTGTTACACAGTTTTACCAGCAATAGAAACAAACAATGCACTCTACAGTCTGCATGTTCTTCTTAACGTTCGGTAACGTTACAGTCATTAGGCAACCATTTTTAATTAATTAATTGTAATACAAATGCCAAAACAAAAGTCATACGGTAAAAAGGTGTCCCGAGTCCAGAAATGTAAAAATTTTATGGGGAGTCATTTTTTGACCGATGGCCATACTTTCTTTCCATTATACGTAACAACTGGGAAAGTAAAATCTCATTTACTTCATCGATGTTTAAGTTAATATTGTGGATTAATTTTTTACTCGTATTAATTATAACACGAATTAATTAAACTCTTTTTCTTTTATTCAGATGGACATTTATGTTAATCCCCTGGATGCGGCGAATCCGAGAAAACCTTCTCTATCAGCTAATCCATACAAATTTCGTGCAATATTTGCCTGTTCTCTCTGCTTTATGTTTTTTGGATTCTTCTTATTAATTGTAGGAGCCATACTAACAGCTACCAACAGTTCTTTCACCGACAAAAACTCGACAAACGTAGCGGGCCCAGTCGTCTTAGCAATAGCAATTTTATTTATATTTATAGCAATAATATTGTGCTGTATGGCAAAACGTGCCTACGTCGTCTATAAGAGGTATTACGTTGGTCAAAACAACGTGAATATTTTCCCAAATGTTGGCAAGAATTTTCGAAATCGTTTGTCTAGTTCCGATCGAAATTCGTCCGAGTGCTCCGACCCTCACTCACCCAATTCACTTAACAAGTTTGATGGAAATTCATTCGATTGCGCTAAAGCTCATCACATTCTAAATTCGGTCACTGTCGATCAGCCAACATCACATTTTTGGTCTTCAAACACTACTTCGCATTGCACATCCGATGTTGGAGTATCTACGACTTGCGTGCAATCCGACTCATCCTGTGATATGTCTTGTGATAATTGATATAACATTGAAAAATGTATATATTTTTATTTATTATTTATTTATTTCGAAACTACTCGATGTTTTTTTAACTCTTAAACTACGAAAATTACTTGCGGAACCGATTGATTGATTAGGTGAGATACCAATAAATTGCAACCAGAATTACGTTCATTATACGTAAACCCATTCCATTTTACTCGTTATTAGCATTTACAATTTTTATAAAGTTCGTCCGTACCCTCAAAAGTAAGCTTTTTGCCGTTTTATAATAGTTAAAAATATAAAATGTTTTAAAATAAAATATCATAACAGATGGAGCCACCAAAATTTTAAATGTTGCCCGGAAAGTTGAGCAACTGGTTGCTATTTATCGCACTTTTTAAAATAAATAAAATACAAAGCGAAATGCTCTTCGTGAGTTTTTGTTTATTTTACAAAGCAGCATTCTAATTAAAAAAAAAAAACAACAGAGCAGCCGAAACCGGAAATTTAAGTTATAAAATAAACAATAAAATATAGTAAACTGATAAAAACTTAATAAGTATATAAGTAGGACATCAATTGAAAGTATAATACTGTTTTATAAAATTAAAAGGGGCATGGACAATGGTTTCGTACGCATAATCCTCGATTTATAGAAGAATTTTCAAGAAAATCGGACCATCCGTTTGAAAGAAATGACACCACCTCTTCAATCTCTCCCAAATAAATACTTCAATTTTCCTGAAAATCTCTAGAAACATTTCCCCTAATACACAAAACTCTGAAAATTTCAGAAATTACGACAAAAGGGCACAGGAGTTATTAAGCTTCAAAGTGGGTGAAAAAGTCGTGTCTCCACACGCAGCAAATAAATGCCAAGAAAGTCCAGCAACAACTTTGTCAGCTTTTCTTGAATTTAAGTTGGCGGCAAAGTATATTTGAATGTAACATACTTCCACGTAACTGATGTATCGCCAGAAACTTTCAACGTAATATTATGATTACTGCAGCAATTCACCATCTTTGATCTTTTACAAATAACACCACGCAATACTCGTGTTATAAGCGGATTTAAATAAGTTTAGTTTAATTTACTTATTAAAATAAATATAAAATTGTTTAATTTATTAATAATTGCTATTTTGTTCATTTAGGTGAGTACAAATTGGTCAGAAATTCGAGAAACCGGAAAAAATTCCAGACACTGTCTGATACTAGGAATATTGATCATAATCTTCTCTTCGTCAATAACGGCAGTTTCCTTCCTGGAAAAGTATTTGCAGAGATATTATTTGATACTTAGAGTTGCGGGTATTGTCGGAATTATACTAGGAATTGCTGTGCTTATGGCCTCGATATTGCCAAACAGAAAATTTACAAAACGAAAGAACTTTTTCGTTGTTCGTGATGAGATGACTTCAAAAATCTTCCTCGTCGATAAGTCTCGCGGATCGTGTTTCCGTTACGTCGGTGATTGGTGTAGTAGTATTTGTTACTGTGGATGCTGCAACATTGGTGAACCCGAGAGTGCTGCCGAAGAACGCCGTAACAGTGCATGTGTATGTGATAATGCCGATAATAGTTGGGTTGGTAAAGAGAAAATTATGCAAGAGATAATTGGAGTTAGCGTTAAGTGCTAACTCCAATTATCTCCAAATAACTCCAAAGTGCGCTGGAGTTAGCAAAAGTGAACTGTAGGAGTAAGTGATAAATTTACCCCACATTCTTGGTTAAAGTTCTAAATATTTGTGATATTTTGTGATATAAACATTTGTACTATTGTGTTTCTCTTTATTATTTCTTCGTGAGATGTTTATTTTCTTTTATTAGTAACAAAAATTAATGAATGTATGCGGAACAGTAATTTATAGTTTCTACGCAAAACAGAGATTACCCGGAGCAATACATTGGTAATGCATATATGGACGTAACATCAGACGTGATACAATAAGTTATCCATGAGTGGGGGAAAGAATTCAGTTAAATGACACATATTGTGCATAACCATTACATTTCTATGCACATATAAATTTCTTTATATGTGCATAGAAATGTAATGGTTATGCACGTGCACCTGATAAGTACCTATAAAAGAAAATGACTAAAAAGTGACAAAAATGTTTGTATTTTTTATATTCGGGATTGTTTTATTAAGTATAAAAATCAGGAAAACATTAAAAAATCACGTTCTTCGAAAATTAGTCCAGACGGATGAAAAGTGTTTTTTATTTTTAATAATATAAGTTGTATTAGTAAGTCTCGGATAATGGCAGTTTTTTTCGCCTCTAGTTCTTGTATTATTAAGAAAATATATAGAACATTTTGAAAAATAATTGTCGTTTAAATTTTTTAGTTTTTCAGGCTACGGGTAAAACGACGTTTTCCCATACAATGAGATTCTTTATCCATGAATTTGGCAGCACTCGCAATGACGGCAAAAGAGACGAAGAGGGGGTCTCCATATATTTGAGTCAGTTTCTACGCCAACTATAATTCAACGTCACATCTCTAGAGCGGAAGTTGGAGCCCGAATGTCTCGGTCAGTCGCTGGTCAAACTATTTATTCACACGCAGTGCCAAAGTCGCTTTAATTTTTGGCTGTCTTCGCCCGGTGGGCACTAAGAGGGTTTCTATTCCAAATCCATGACTGTAATGGGAGTGGCAGGGTGTCGAGGGGAAGGGGCCCGACACATCCGGAATAGAACATTCGTAGTAATTTCCTAGGGTTACTCTAATCCTCCAGAGTAGTGGGTTAAACGCCTCCGCCATCTGATGTATATTACTATATAATATAGTACCGTACTGAAAATATATATTTTAAAAATTTTCTTCATTTCGAATATTTTTTTTTATTAAATTATTTCAGGTATTACATTTTTAATTCGTACACTACTTTAGTATTTCATTCCTAATTGCACATAAAACTTGAAATTATATTTATTCTCGCAGTAATAGTCTACACAAGAAATACTCAATGAGGATAAGCGAGATCAAATACAGATATAAATTGATGCAGTAACGCGTCATATCTGGTGTTATTTAAATATTTCTTACGAAATGACGGATATCGGCTTTCGGTAAGCGTGTTAAATCCCAGAAGAATATTTTATTTCAAATTTATCGAGATATATTAATTTAAATTATGATTATTATATTTAATGACTTTGGTATTTTGCTACAAAGAGATTGACATGGCGAGACAGTTTATTGGCATACTTTTTTAAAATTCTTTGTCATATATACACTATAGGATGTGTACGAGATGGTTGAACGACACGTGCATCATTGAAATCTGCATTATCAAAGACTGGACTGTACATCGGATTCTTTCTCTCAAATGTCGTTTACAAGGTAATCGGCATCAGTGAAAAGTTTTTCACGGTGTAGAATGATAAAATATTATAAAATACACTAAGACAACACATTTGTAAGGATACTTATAACAATAGAACCACCGTGTCTAATATCACCAGTGGACGATATGAGGCACGCTATTAGGCAAAAATCACATAATCATACAATTAAACTTTTTCATGATTTTCGAACGATTTCTACGCAAAAATCATATCACCTCTTGATTTGTAAAGAAATGACAACAACTTTGAAATTTGTAAAGTACATTTTTAAATACATTTTTAATGATGGTAATGAAAAATAATGATGACAGATCTTTAATTTTTCTGACTATAAATCGCTTCCCTTTAAAATATTTTATAAAAGGGAAAATAAAGCTAAAAACAATTTAGGTAAAATTATCTTGAAGCATTCGTCTACTCGTGTTAGAAAATTTCTGAACCGATCCAGACTCGAATTCGGGTCTCTCCGTAAGTGCTCCGTAGGGTCCCTTCTTTCGGGTTGTTCCCTTCAGGCTGTTAATTTTGCCACCCCGGCAATTCACGAGTCGTGTTTATGCACAATTACTTGAAGTCAAATGTCTTTCAACATTTTCGTACGAAAGAGGTGATTCATAAAATGTTTCTGAAATTAATACGAAAAACCCCGGATGTAGTCATTGAATTTTCACACACTTCCGATTGCCAGGATGATGAATCTGTAGTATTTGGCGTAGCATCTTGCGGAATATTTTTGCACAAACAATAAAATTTTACTATTGCATAAACGAATAGTGAGAGACATCCAATATAACATATAACTAAACCGACTTCTGGAGCCGAATTAGTAAATGTAATAAAAAAATAAGCCAATCAGGAATAGATGATACACAATTATCCAAAAAACTATATCTCAAAGCTTGCAAAGTGAAATCTGCTTCTCGGCAAGTCCTCTCGATGGCATTTCCTTAATAAGAAATTTAAATTTAAATTAATTTACCAAGTATCAACGAAATAAAATTAAATATTTTAATTTAATCGCTAATAAAATTAATTAAATTTAATTTATTATTGACAGAACACCAAATCCTGGATGGTCTGAAATGGGCGTCGTTACGTTACGAAAGACTACTCTGTATTCGGTACGTGGCTTTATACTTAAATTAATGTATTTGATTCAGTAGTTTATTCAGTTTTTGGGAGATGAAAACGGCAACTGAATAAAACTATCTTAAGATTTACAATTACAGCATTTATACGTATAGAAGGGTTAACTTCTTATCCAAGAGTTTACCCAACACTTCCTAGTTACACTCCTTTTACGTTTTTAGTGAAATTTTATCGTTAATATGCATTTCAAAAATTTTTGCAGTTCGCGAAATCGCCAACGACTTACAATAATGAAAGAAAAGCTTTCAGAATTTATGGTTTAATCAAAATTTTTCACGAAACACGCGGCATTATGCAAAATACAGTCGAGAGATTCTCCTCGGCATTTTCGTGTGTTATCGTACTGCATTTGACACTACAAATAGAAAAGGGAAGCTCCAATGGTCTAAGATTTGCTCGAAAGCGCGGGTGTTTTACGTATATGGATAGACTGATGTATTCTTCGTTTTTCCACATACTTAAGAACAGTGGAACGAGTCTCGATAACTCCAGAGAAGATTTTTCAAAAAAGACGTGACAGGAAAACGTGTATCGATTCGTGAAATCTTTGTACAAATATTTGCGAAGGTTACATTTTCTTTCGTGAAATCTCTTCACTAAATGCTGCACCGGAGTGTAAAGTAGTAGTTCGAAGCACAAATTTAGTAGACCTAACCTGAATCCAATATATACCCCCTTACAGTGCAAACCTAGCAATATTTCGCAATTTGCTTTCGGACATCAGGAAAAAGAAAACCTAAGTACGTTAGGGTAGTCCGAAGCCTATGTGCCTTTACATTGTCTAACCATATAGATGACTATAAAAAAAACTTTAACTCCTAGAGAAGGTGCAATTCCACCGAAATAAATACAATATTTTAGCACAAAATACATTATTTAAATACATTATAATTATAATATATCACATTTACAATAAATACCACAAGTAGTCTATCCGTGGCAAAACTATGCTCCACCGAACTGTTCAATGTCAGCTGCTTGGATTTTTAATAGAAAAATTGCAAATATTATTGTGAAGAAAAGACCGTCAAATAAAGTTTCTAAGCTGTAGTTGTTTTATATTATTGAAACTTGAGACTCGAAAGTCTTACGAATTCATTCTTTAGACTGGTGAAGCCAAAAAAAAAACTTTCATAAGATTCTGAAAATTAAAGCTACGCCATTTTGTTTGTGTAGGGGAAACATAAGAGACTGTTAGATTCAAAATGGCGTTTGGATTTAGATTGTCGTTTCGCAGAATACAGTGAAGACGTGTTATTTTATAACGCTGAATAAGTATTTAAAACGAATATATGAGAATGTAAATGCAGTAAAAGGAACTGTACCTTTACGGATTACCCTTTGCGAAATATAGCCCTCCCAAAATAACATTACGAATCACGCGACTACACTTTTTCAATCTCCAAACACCCCCCCATGAACGTGCGTGTTTTCCATTTCTCTCTCCAAACCCCCACGGACATGGGTATTTTTTTTTCTTTAAATGCCGGTGTAGTTAGTAGTTGCGCCTGTCGCCATCTTGTTTGTGGACGTCTCCTTCACAAACAAGATGGCGACCGGAAGTGCCGCCATCATGTTTACCTAGCCACACTTTTACCAATATTTATGAGATAAGCAATTATTTAATACTCCATACATTTCATGATAATTATGCTATTTAGTATTTATTTTAAAATATTTTACATCGTATTAAATTTCAATTTTTATTGTCTTAATTTGAAGTTATTCTATTTAATACGCTTGTATTTCTTTTCTGTTATTTTTCATTTCTCATATTTAAAACTTTTTTGTAAAATTATATAATTATTTAAGTAGCAATTTAAATATTTTGAAAACAAATCAATATTTAGTTACGTTACGTTTAGATTATAAATTACGTAAAGAAAAATTGATAATTACATTATTGTAAGTTTAAAATTCCTTCGACAGATGGCGGTAGAAATATTTACTGTATTGTAAGCATGGCCCGGTAAAGCCACTTTAATACAGCCGAATAAGTGAGCCAATAACAGCCCGTTTTAGTTGAAACAAACTATGTTATTAGCTGGCTCATCTAGCTGCATTAAAATCACTTTACCAGGTTTATTGTTATTTCATCGTTGCACTATAGCTACGGTGACCATACGTCCTTTATTTAAGAGGACAGTCCTTTATTTCACTGTTCTGTCCTCTAACTTTATTTATTTTATAAAATAGGCATTTTGTCCTTTATTTTGTAAATTCAATGCAAAGTTTAAAAACTTTTTTAATAATATATTGAACAAGTTAGTTTCGTGTACGCCATCGCGATCAGTGTTGTCATCATGTCCATACGTTGCTTCATAGAGCGCGGTAGTGTAGTGTGTCGCCAACCGAACGGCCCTTTGACAGTACCAAGGGGCGGACACTCTTATGGGGATTTTTGTGATAGTTTTTTAACTTTCTGGTTGGTGGATGATACACTTGGAGCGTTGGTGAGCATTCGTCGACACTTGTCGACATGCTGGCCATGTAAGCATGAAGAGCTGTTAATGAATAAAGAGATCTTCAAATCATTTTACAGACTAGTCAAACAGCATGCTATTATTGCACCAACTGCTACCAGAGAATAGCTTACTACTGTTTCTTCTGAACTTCACATCATCCAACCTGATAAATCTGATGGAATCAATGAAAATTTCGATAAACGACGGTTTTGTCTTGCAAGACTTGTTCTGCAAAACTTGTTCTACAAGTTTTGAAGGTTGTCTTGGAGGCCCTTATGGACAAGTTTACTCCAAGGAGTTTTGTGGTACCTCCATAACGGTGCTGAGTATGTGCCTCGAGCACCTAATAAAAACGATTGATTGATTGACACTTGTCGACAATCTTCGGGGGCCCGAGCATGTGACATATTTACTGTTAATGTGCTAAATAATTGGGACATGTGTTTTATTGAAATAGAGGTGTTTGAATGGGTCACATTACTCAAAATCCCTTTGTGGGTGAAGGTAGAGGAAAGCTAGATTTTTATTTCGAATCATTGGTCTGTAAATATACTCGACAGTGAATTATTTGATGAAGTTTTGTGTGTAAAAAAATATGTCACAAACGAAAAGATCGACGAATGGCGACAGAATAACAAGCCCTGCCATCAAAAGTGGGTTGAGATTTTTGAACATTTTACAGCAAAAAATTGCTTTCAAAAACATTTGTAAAATCGTAGAATTTTCTTTGTCTCCCTGGATCTAATGCATCGTCGAACGAATATTTTCATTGGTGAATAATATGTGGACGAATGAAAAAACCCAGTTAAAAGTAAGCACATTATTTCTGTCAAATACAACTTTCAAATGAACTGTATAGAATTTTATGACTTTTTAAAGCGTGAACCAGTGCTATTAAAGAAATTAATTCTACTGAAAAGTATCAAAATTAATGTTATTTGAATTTTTACAATGTGTACGCATGTGTAATAAATGTTATAAACTTATGAATTTTATAAGATTTTTTAATTTTCTTCGATATATCCTTTATTTTCCCCCAAAAAATATGGTCACCGTAACTATAGCCTACTCGATTGAATTTTAGTTGTGTCTCCGACATTAGGTTTAAATCTAAGATCGTTTTGTACGTAAATCTAAAATAATAGGCACGTCTTCCTTCCCGAATACGTCTCTATTATATTCTGGATATTATGTAGCACTATGGTGTACCCTCGGATTCGGATCTCGTACCCAATCCTTTCTCATTTTGAATGATATTCGTGCCAGAGCCGAATCTTTAAAAGGTTGCCTCTTTGCCAGAGTAAATTTTGTAAGGATTTCATTAGATCTTACAATATGGTCATTTAGAATGAGCTAATTAATTTAACTCCTGCGAGGGATCATTCAGAGCTCTTTGAGCGGGCCGATTAACGGACGAAATTGATGATATGTATTCGAATAGGAGCCAAAATCTAGAAATATAATCTAATTTATGTGTTTAAATGCCTCTTTTAAAGAAACATAACCGCAAGTTCGAGAGTTCACGAGTTTTAAGAAGAGGAGCTCGTCAAATTATGTTCTTAATTTGTTCGTCTTTATTGTTATAAGCAGAAATTAATGTCACTTTTTATATTTGTTACGGTAGATATCGCAGTATAAAGTATAAGCGTAATATTTATATTTACAATGATTCACTCTACTTCAAAACATGGAATTACTCAAATAAATTGTTTATGTATGATTATATTAATCATATAGATAAGTTGATTGTTATTTATTATAATCATCGTTTTAAAGTTCAACTCGTTAAAAGGACGTTAATAATATATTTAAAAGTTAAAAATAACTTTCTGTTGGAAGTATTAAAATATAATTAAATTTATTGAGATTATTATTCAGAGAATTCGTGGATCTACCCAGGACGGATCAAACGGCAAAAGCGAAGATTCCGAGTACGATGGAGCGATATGGAGTGACGAAATGAGGAAAATGATTAAGGTAAATTGCAAAAACAAAGTCTTGGACGGGGAAAACTGGAAAAGATTAGAAGAAATCTTCATCCATCAATTTATTGACAATGTATGATGATGACGACGATTCGAATTACTTACAATTTTATTTATGAATTTTGTGCTGAACTTTAATAAAGAAAATTATTATTAATTGTATATTTGACATAATAATTTCTAAATTTTTGTACCGAATTAAATTGTTAATAATTCTGAATGTTTAGCAATTTTGTGTTAATTATTTGGATATATTTTTAGTTTACTTAAAGTAAGTTTGTATCAACATTATCGCTTCTATTATTATGTTATATAATTCATAATTATACTCTTATAATTATATGACAATACGAATAATTTATTTTACTTTGTCATTCACAAAAAGGTGTAAATTAGTTTAATTTAAGGAGACTTTTTTCACGATATAAATCAGTTAAGTTCATATAATAATAACTTAAAACCTCCCTCTTGTCTGATCGAAAATTTCGTGAAGGATGAAGTCCATTAAATGATCATCTCATTCTATACGTGTAATTAACTGGACAGCTTGTTTTCGGTGACGAGTTAAATGACAGATGCCTGTAAGTCAGGCACGGAGGTCTATTGACTGATCTTCATAGGAGCATCACTAAGAGAGCATTGTAAAGTGTGTAAACATCGATTTATAAATTTATTTTTTACTTATTATTTCAGAAGACAGCAATTTCTTAAAAATATTTATTAAAATTTTTATCTAAATGAACATTTTTTTGAGTATCTTGTTACGGACAAGATGATCTTTTTAAGCTCATAAACAATCNGAACGAATATTTTCATTGGTGAATAATATGTGGACGAATGAAAAAACCCAGTTAAAAGTAAGCACATTATTTCTGTCAAATACAACTTTCAAATGAACTGTATAGAATTTTATGACTTTTTAAAGCGTGAACCAGTGCTATTAAAGAAATTAATTCTACTGAAAAGTATCAAAATTAATGTTATTTGAATTTTTACAATGTGTACGCATGTGTAATAAATGTTATAAACTTATGAATTTTATAAGATTTTTTAATTTTCTTCGATATATCCTTTATTTTCCCCCAAAAAATATGGTCACCGTAACTATAGCCTACTCGATTGAATTTTAGTTGTGTCTCCGACATTAGGTTTAAATCTAAGATCGTTTTGTACGTAAATCTAAAATAATAGGCACGTCTTCCTTCCCGAATACGTCTCTATTATATTCTGGATATTATGTAGCACTATGGTGTACCCTCGGATTCGGATCTCGTACCCAATCCTTTCTCATTTTGAATGATATTCGTGCCAGAGCCGAATCTTTAAAAGGTTGCCTCTTTGCCAGAGTAAATTTTGTAAGGATTTCATTAGATCTTACAATATGGTCATTTAGAATGAGCTAATTAATTTAACTCCTGCGAGGGATCATTCAGAGCTCTTTGAGCGGGCCGATTAACGGACGAAATTGATGATATGTATTCGAATAGGAGCCAAAATCTAGAAATATAATCTAATTTATGTGTTTAAATGCCTCTTTTAAAGAAACATAACCGCAAGTTCGAGAGTTCACGAGTTTTAAGAAGAGGAGCTCGTCAAATTATGTTCTTAATTTGTTCGTCTTTATTGTTATAAGCAGAAATTAATGTCACTTTTTATATTTGTTACGGTAGATATCGCAGTATAAAGTATAAGCGTAATATTTATATTTACAATGATTCACTCTACTTCAAAACATGGAATTACTCAAATAAATTGTTTATGTATGATTATATTAATCATATAGATAAGTTGATTGTTATTTATTATAATCATCGTTTTAAAGTTCAACTCGTTAAAAGGACGTTAATAATATATTTAAAAGTTAAAAATAACTTTCTGTTGGAAGTATTAAAATATAATTAAATTTATTGAGATTATTATTCAGAGAATTCGTGGATCTACCCAGGACGGATCAAACGGCAAAAGCGAAGATTCCGAGTACGATGGAGCGATATGGAGTGACGAAATGAGGAAAATGATTAAGGTAAATTGCAAAAACAAAGTCTTGGACGGGGAAAACTGGAAAAGATTAGAAGAAATCTTCATCCATCAATTTATTGACAATGTATGATGATGACGACGATTCGAATTACTTACAATTTTATTTATGAATTTTGTGCTGAACTTTAATAAAGAAAATTATTATTAATTGTATATTTGACATAATAATTTCTAAATTTTTGTATCGAATTAAATTGTTAATAATTCTGAATGTTTAGCAATTTTGTGTTAATTATTTGGATATATTTTTAGTTTACTTAAAGTAAGTTTGTATCAACATTATCGCTTCTATTATTATGTTATATAATTCATAATTATACTCTTATAATTATATGACAATACGAATAATTTATTTTACTTTGTCATTCACAAAAAGGTGTAAATTAGTTTAATTTAAGGAGACTTTTTTCACGATATAAATCAGTTAAGTTCATATAATAATAACTTAAAACCTCCCTCTTGTCTGATCGAAAATTTCGTGAAGGATGAAGTCTATTAAATGATCATCTCATTCTATACGTGTAATTAACTGGACAGCTTGTTTTCGGTGACGAGTTAAATGACAGATGCCTGTAAGTCAGGCACGGAGGTCTATTGACTGATCTTCATAGGAGCATCACTAAGAGAGCATTGTAAAGTGTGTATACATCGATTTATAAATTTATTTTTTACTTATTATTTCAGAAGACAGCAATTTTTTAAAAATATTTATTAAAATTTTTATCTAAATGAACATTTTTTTGAGTATCTTGTTACGGACAAGATGATCTTTTTAAGCTCATAAACAATCTTCACTTTCTTTTTTCATCGCACGTATATACATGTCTTTTTATTTATTCACATACTCATATTTTTATTTACAGAATATTTTAAATTGATGCCACAAAGTAATAATATGGAACAAAACTGAAAATATTCATAAATTTAACTAGCAATATATATATACTTATTTTATATTATATACAAAGAAGATAATTTTTACAGAAAAAATACGATTCGACAATTTCAGTTGAAGGAATTATCACAAAATAGTTACACCACGTAGATTTTTGCTGGATCGAACAGCGAGATGATCCCATTCCTTCTAGTAATAATTATTAGAAGAAACGGTGCGTTTATCTTGCCGAGGATTATAATTTATCGCCGGTGCACTGGGACCGAGTGCATCGTTCCTCGATTGGTAAGTTTGACACACGGATTCGTAAGATGGCGGGGGATCATCTTGTGGAATTCGAGCCGAATCGTTGTAAGAAATAGACGTGTAAGGTGGTGGCAATGCACCGGAAGGGCGAATACTCGATCTCGGATCCACGACAACGCGTGATAAATCGTGTCGTTGGTTTTCCTTACTCTTCAGACACAAGTACGAAATGACGGCAATTAACGTCATTGTGGCACCCAAAGTTAGTAATATGGGACCGACCGATCGAAGAGAATTGTTTCTACTTTGTGTATGATTATATGCAGAAATCGTCATTCCTAATCCCAAGAATATAAAGAGCATGCCTAAGACGCATACTCGTTTCGGATAAGAATACTGATAAAGTTCTGTCCGTCTGGTATTTAATTCGATCATTAATATCACTACTGTGGATCTTCAAGATTGATTATCCTCCTGTAACAAATTAAAGATTAATATGTCTTAGTCATTTTATTAATTAATTTATGGCATAATGTTACGTTGTTTATTCCGTTACGTACACCTACTTTCGTTCGAACTGTTGATGGAATTATAAAGCAAACTGTTAAAATATTTGTTTTATTTCGTGCCAATTAATATACGATGCAAATTTGTTTATAAATATAAATATTACGAATAATCACAGTTTGCCTAGTAATTATGTATGCGACACCTTTTTTTTTTATTCATATTCATGTTGCCTAACAAACCCTGGAAAATCCCACACAAGTTTACATTTTGCTTTATAATACTAATCTTATTGATTAATTTATTAATGGGAAGCACAATCGAACTATAGGCAAAGATGGGAACCAGCGACTTTTTATAACTTCTAGTCAGGGCTAAAATATAAAGTTTCAGATTTTTGCTTTTATTTCTGTTTCAACAAAAACATCTATCTAAATGTATTCGTATATATTTTTGCTCTTGTGTGCCGAATTTATAACCTTACGCAACATGCAGGTGCGCTTCCGAATAACACGAATTAATGGTGAAGATTGGACCTTCTGGAAGTGGAATAGGTGTTCCTTTTGTCCTTACAATAAAATTTACAGCGTGGTTGAGAGATTTAGAAAACGTTACCCATAATACCCATGGTAAGTAATGGTGGACCGGAGAAGGATCCCCTCACGACATAGCCAACTATAGACTCTTAGATATTATCAGGCCAGAACCCGACGTTACAAAGATTTATGTAAGCTAAGCATTATTTTAGGTCGTATTGTACTAAAACGATTATACAGTTATGTCTAGTATATTGAAATAAATTAAAATTACCGTATTTTGCAGCGTATAGTGCGCACTTTTTGCCAAAATGTATGCGTGGAAAATAAAATGCGCATCAGTGGCGTGCCGTCATTGGAAGCGGTGGATGCGCCGCTTCCCTCGTATTTTATAAAAAATACATACATATTAGTTTTAATTATATGAAAATAATCGCGCAGTATTTTATTATAACCGCATTACGTATCTTATTACAAATTTCTATACTATACGTGGAAAAAAAAAAGATCGCTATTGTATATTCGAATATTAGTGGCGGAGTGGAAGCGCCGTATCGTCGGCATCCAAAAAGCCAGATTTGAGCACGCGCTTTACGGAGCAACGACCTCACCCGGTTTAGCCAGCGGAAGCCTACGACCTGGGGTGGATGCTACGCGTGTAACGCATCCAATTCTATCCGGGACCGGTTCCGGGCCGTTATTTGGCCTCCCTCGCCCGATTAGGCGAATCGCGAGTAGATTTATAACTTAACCGATAAGAATTTACCGGTACGTTTTTACGATAGTTCTGTATACTTGACGGGAGTTAAAAAAATCCATTAAAATATTTGATATATTTATTCCGCTCTCCGATTTTATATTACTCGCGGATTTCGATGTTAAACCAGTGATATCACGATTTCGTATATTCCGTCTTTAAGGGGATGTAGAAAAAAAAACGTGTACAATTCTTGTATAATGTTAAAAAATTAACTGTTACTTTGGTAGCATCATTTACAACTAACTTTAACGAATGAGAGAGATGCACCAGGTACAGAAAAAGCTCTAGAATTTATTTTCTTTAAATTTACGATTTATGTGTCCGTTTGTCATAAAAATTTGTCTTTCCATTTTTTCCCAAGACTACGAATATTCGAGTACAAAGTACAGTCGACCCCCCTATAACGTACGTTCCTATAACGACAATTCCTAGAACGTAGCGAAAAAATTGTAGCAACTTTCGTATAACGTACCTCCTATAACGTCGTTTCGCGACAAGATTGATAGAGTCTGGACCAATAGTGGATGAGCAGCCGAACTACTTTCCTCCGACCCTGCGCCACGCTACGGAGCGGCTAAATTGAGTTTGCTATCGTCTGTTTAGTATTATATATAAATTATATATAAATTAGGTACTGTACATATAATTATATATTAATTATATATAAATTAGGTACTGTATATATAATTATATATTAACTTAATTTATTGTAACTTTATTATAATTATATATATGCTTTCTGCCGCCTGGCAACACGCTACGGAGATTTTAGGCTAGTAAGTTGAGTTTATTATCGTCTGCACAGTATGTAAATTAGGTACCGTAAGTCTAATACAGCACTAATTTTATACATTTCTTGTGAAAGAAACACTTCTTATTCAACGTCCATAAAAATTATTTATATTAATGATGTCTCCAAAGGTCAAGTTATTTTTCCGCCAAAAATTCGTTATCAGAAATTGCGGCCGTCGTTTCGCGTGCTGTTCCGCGATGAAAACCAGCTTTAAGCAACGGCGTAGTCGAACGGTGTAAGTAATCCTACAATTTTTTGTTTATAGCATAGTTTATACAGATTATTCCCAAAAAATTATACGTATTTTGGAAATGTTGAGTGGAATTAGTCTAGAATCGGTTAATTTTATAGAAGAAAACCTTTCGAACAGCCTTAGTCCGTAAAGTTCCCACCTATCGGGCTGCGATTGGCTCATTCCTACAACGTAATTTTCGGTTAGCGTGGAACGTATCTAAGCGTTATAGGGGGGTCTACTGTATTTCTACTTAAGAAGTAGTTAAATAATTAAGCGATTAGGAATTGGGGACGTAAACAAAACCCTGCTGAAAGAGCCGGAATATTACTTAAAAGCTTAACCGACCCAATCTCTAGCCGAGTACAGTGGAGACTGATTTCTTCGTATTATTAATGTAATAAAGACAAAAATTTTTCCAGTTCGACGAGAGTGGCCGAAAAGTTGTAAATTTTGAAAATTTCTGAGGACACTCGGTCCTAAAACAAATCAGTTAGAAAACAAATGACTATTAAGTTTAACGTATTTAGATTTTTACAGCTATGGTGAGAAACGTTTAAAATCTACAACGCGTCTTTCGCAAATCTTTCGCGTCTTTTGACATATACTAATGATGCGACGAAAGAGGTATTTGACATTTACCGGTATCGGCACCCCGGGGATTTGGCAGTCGGCGCGTATGCGCGCTCCGCAACCGTCTTCGATTTCATCCATTGGCCACTCGTAGGGAGCAATTTGTCTAAGTGCATTGTTTTAAGATGTAAAAAGTAAAGAATATTTTATATTTTTATGTACGTTTCTTCGCAAAGCTATATTTAATTATAATTTTCTTTAAAAGTATATTTGTACAATTGAAAAATATTCTGTACCGGTAGGTCCACCACATATTTTATTTCGCCGAGTAAGTTTTTATTATTTTATTTTTAATTGTAGCCCTTATATAGTGGCTATCGATTCGAAATGTAATTGCGATATTAAAAATGCATTTAGAGAAATCTACGGTTTTTACTGGCTTATCGAATAAACAATACGAATGGACCCTAGACCGTCGCTGACGCGCGATTGACCGATTGCCCCTGGATGTCGGCTTCTTCCAGAAACGCAGCTTCCCTATCGTCAAATTTCACGGCACGCCACTGGTAGGTAGTACCAATTCCGTATGTATGTAAATGGTTTTTATTCTTATATATATGCTTGTGGGTTAAAAGTAGATCTACAAATCAGTAACGACAAATCTTGGCTTTCTATATCGTAAATCTGTTATCGGTAAATAAAATTTCTTCGATCGTATGTTAAAAAATAAAACCTAAAATTCCTTTTTATACAAAAAAATAAGTGCCTAAATATAAACAAATAAAACTTTGAATTAAAAAATTAAAACATAAGAATTTTTGCTGAAAGCTTGGGTGCTCATTATACACGGCAAAATACGGTAACAGTCGAGCAAATATACCTGCGATATTTCGTAGTGACATCGACGAAATAGAAACTTTTTATTCTCGTAATATCGAGTTTTTGAAATGCACTCCCTTTGTCGTGTCACGATACGTCAGATTCGGGCTTGGTATCTGGGGGTCTACGAGCTAACACCTGACATCTTACCACCACCCGCCAGACCGTCTTTTAGTAATATTTCAGGATAATGGCGCATCAATTATTGTAGAGCCGGACTTTATGATCTGTCAGTTTGTTGCGTGGTCAATTGTCCGAGTCACCTTATTTACCGGACTATTAGTAACAATCGGATGGCAAATATGAAATTCCTGGAGAAAGCGTGAAATTAAAGTACTCACGTGTGAAATAGTATGAATGAATGCAACATTCTTAAATCATTAAATGATTCCGAAGCAAAATTATAATCTGAAAATCTGTGATAAACAGTTTTATAGGAAATGCCAGATGCGGTGAAGAAATCTAACCAATAATTTCTGATTCAGCTCGCAGTTTACTCCATCAACAAGCGAAATTTTCTAAATATAATCTTCTATAATACATAAACAGAGAAAATCTTTCCCTTATATATTACTATTAGTTTTTAAATTTATATTTTCAAGAACCTAACCTTCATTTATCACACTGACCTTATGGAAAATATAATGGCTCGCTTTACGACGGCTTTCTGAAAACGAAAAGTTCTACTTATTTAAGTAGAAAATTTTAAAACTTTTAAACGTTAAAGATCGCGGTTATATAAAATTTTTTTTACAGAATTTCGGGTACAGTCACGTAATGTCGTGTCTAGAAACAATTACTGCACATTATTTCTAATGAAGTTGATGGCTACTGATAACGTGGTCGTTATTGAAGATTTGACTGTATAAAACACATTTATTTAAATAATGAAATATTTTAGAGAGTACATACCGTTTTGATCCACGGCTAAACCTGTATAACACATTTTTACACCCGCATTTTATACAAGTTTTTTTACATAACTAAAGGTAAATTCGTGACTGGTATGAGTCAATATTGAAAGAATGCAACGATATTAAATAAATTGGGTTCAATATTTGTAAAATATTTCCATAACATTAATTAAATTTCTTAATTAATCCATAACTATGAATGGTAGAACTCTATGACTTAACAGATTTCTGGAAAATCGTCGTAAAGCGAATCTAATATTTCACATAATTTTGTTGTTGTAAATTGAGATCACATTTAAGAAAGCGAAAGGTTTGATTTATATAATGTCAAAGTAAGCTGGACAGTAAATATGACTCTTAAATATTGCGTTTTAAACATGTATAACAGACAAATTATGCTAGTAGTATAAGCAGAGGTTCTAAAACCAGCCGTCGTAAAGCGAGGATCTATTGTATTTTAACTTTGAAGGCTTTGTGCGTGTGTCTTTACATTTACATTTTAAAGACCCTGATGTTTTTTGGTACAAGGTAACTATATAAATTATAGTACTTTGTACATTTGTTCGCTGTCACATTTACAGAATACCAAATTAGGTACTTTAACTGATAATTTAAGCCATTTAGCTATTTTAATGATAATTTCTAATCACAAATAAAGATAATCTTAATTATCTTAATTATAGCACAAATTTATTTATTTTAAGCGATTTTTAGGCATTAAAATCACTTATATAAAATCCTTTGCTGACAAAATATGCTAATTTACCTGTTAATGATGTATAAAATCAGACATTTATTCTGATTTTGGGACATTTCTGCATGTTATCAGCAAGTGTTATCACGTCGACAAGCTTCAAATCAGAAAAAAATTACGATTTGTTAACGATTAAAACAAAAAATAGATCTTTAATTTCTTCCCAACTGATATCCCGATTCATTATATTGATAAAAAAAACAATTTTAAAGCGTTAATTTAATAATTATCCTCTTATTAATCAATCTTACACTAATTTATTATATTTCTTACTCCAAATGACTCTTTGCTAAATGAATTTTAACCAAGTTAGTGTCAGAATTTAACGCCATTCCCTTAACGATTACGCATACAAATCTATAGGTTAATTGATTAACGTGGGGTTAATCATTTTAGGGAATTTTTCTGGTCAAGGACTACGTCGAATTTACTCTTTATGTAATAAATGATAAATTCCTTTCGAATTAACGTATTTTATATCGCAAGTTTGGTAAATATTCTTGAAATAAACACTTCTTGAAACAGTCATATGCATTTTATTAATTTTTTTAATGTAAATTTATGGTTTACATTGCTGTCTACGTGCATGTCCTTGAAGCATTGCAACCTCCAACTGTAATGTTAATGCTTCCTACTAGAGGCATCACGAGTCAAGTTTCCGCCAAATCAGCTGGTAATTACACAATAAATCTATACATTTTGGTGAGTTAAAGAATAAAAAACATTAATTTATCATTTTTATATCAAAAACACCTATGTCCTCTTCGATAAGATTGTATGCAGCGCACAAAGATTGCAGGCAAGCAACTTACGCAACGTTAAAAAAAATTTTTTTTTTGCTTTAAAATTAAATTTTAATTTAAAATCTAGTGAATTTTTCGATAGAATTTGAAGTTTAGAATTAATTTTTTAAAGAAATTTGTATGTATTTTAGAGCGAATCGTTTGTTGTAGCCTGCTACAAATGGGCATCAATCCAAGTTTCGTTTTACAAATAGCTACTAGAGATTATTGTATTGTAAAATTAGAATATCCTACGTAAAAGCCTAAATTATATAGATTATAATGGGATCGTACTATAATATAATAATATATGCACTTACTTGATTTGTTTGAAGCGTTTAAATGACCTTCCTCTTGTCTGACTCCCTCAACGTGATAAACAATTACACGCTATTGGTTTGATAACAAACGGAAATTGCATTTAGTTGCAAAATTTCAAACTCTAAATGAAAACTAATACGTGATTCATAGGTCGAGTGTGGATAACACTTAGTTTTATTAAGAAAAAAACAATGCTAATTTTTAAATAATTAATTATAATTTTAGCAGTTTTACACCATCAAACTATATCCTTCTAGTATCGAGTAAAATAATTCATTAACAATAGTTTCAATGATTATTTTTAGGTTGATTGTGTATAAGAGTTTAGTTACATAAAAGCTCTACGTGTATCCTTCTGTTCCTTTTAAACAGAGCGTGATAGACAGACGCTTGAAGAATACTTATTTAAAGCTAATCAAATTCCCAAATAACAGGTATATTATTTGCGCAGATTATAGCATTTTTTTCTTTTTATTTTGTAGTGTTCCTATTGGGTCTCTCGTGAAAGAACTGTATCGTACAAGAAAAAAGTGTAGACATTATGTCATTAAAAATGAGTTATTGTTATTGTTATAATCTTCCATTCTTTAAGAATATATTTCCAGTTTTTCGGGGGATTGCGACCTACTGGTTGAGAAACACTAAATAGAGCATGTCGTTCTCTGTGATGTTCATTTACTGTACTGTACTTATCTCGTAATGCTAGTCGTTATTTATTTTTAGAACTTTCTCCTCTTACGTGTAAATAATATTTCGTACTGTGTACAAGATATATTATTAGTGAATATATTATTTTTAATACTCGTCCAATCACCATTCAGACAACCATATCGTTAACCAATCAACGTTAAGCTCCTAGTACTTTTTAAACTATTTATCGTCTAAATTTCTAAAAGGACGTCCTATCTTCATATAAATCGTTTAACTTAATTCTATCATTTTAAAGACGATTTTACTTATTAAAATGTAATTTTATATACAGTTTATATGATACAACGGGCACCAGCCATAAAAAAATAGACGTTACTTAGGTATAGCTGTTGTGTGGAGGTTTGTCAATGCATTTCAAAAAGAAATGTTCCCACAAGAATGGCCGCATTATAAAGGTGGCCTTTATTAAAGAAAATATATAATTTCTGACTAATAATTACTTTTTTACAGGTTGTTATTGATTATTATAGTATTTATAACAAGATAAATCCTTGATATACAATTTCAGAACAAATTTTTTGTTAATCTGACACTCTAAAACTTTGTTTTTTAGTTTTAATTAAGTTTAAATATAATATTTAAAAAATATATATATATAGCACAATATATTTAATAGCTAAACGTTATGAAGTAGAGAGTAAATTGTAAAATATCTCATGAAAAAAGTGAGTCCCAGGAGCCAAGAGAGAGCGGGCCACTTATTTTTTTAAGGCCCCAATTTGTAAAAACAAAGCGGCGTTAAAAATGGTATTATTTTTAAAAAATAATAACACAACGCAGGAAAGGCAATGAAATAAATTCTCTGCAACGAATGATTTTGGGGCCTTTGTAAATGTGATGCCTCGGCCAAGTGGATCCTTGTAAATTTATAGTGATTATTTTTATTTTCGAATTATATGAAATTTAGGGGTGCATATAGGTAACAAGCCAATGATATAGTTCGTTTTATAAAAAAAAGAACTGTGTCACTTACTTACTTAGCTACTTTTTACCTAGAAATCTCATGTCATACTATGATCACTGAATTATTATTATTATATATTATTATAGATCAGTTCTTAGCTTTCTCCACTTTGGAGAAAAACCGGGCATTTGCCCCTTTATGAGATCGAGTAAAAAATTCCACAAATTATAATCGTAGAAGTGATCGAGATAACCTTACCTTACACTATAACCTTACACCCTCGACCATATTAAACTTCAATATATTATGTATTTTATTATTTACTTGTGAAACCCCCAAAATGAAATAATTGAATAAAAATTTATTGTTGTAATTATTTTTCTCCAACTTTGCTCCTCTTGGAAAATTTTCTGCGGACGCCCGTGCTTCTAAACGCCCATAAATTGAAATACAGTAATTGGAGTGTCGAAAGGTGTTGCTCCACAATCACAGATTTTAATTATTAATTTGCAGTTTAAAATACCGTGGCACTAATCTTTAAATTAAAAAGAATTATTGATATATAATTTTATTTGGCAGCCATTGCAGATGTTTTTCTTGCGCACCCAGGAATGAAAAATTCTGGCATAGATAACGTGTTAGATATAACCACAAAGAGCAGACCGTTTGAATTTAAATTTTGTTTTCTAACTAGCAGATATGCCCGGAGGAAAGTAGTAAGGACGAACATTACACCATTGTTATGTTTATCACGAAATTTCGAGGAGACGAAATCGAAGAGTGAGGTGTCCGGGCTTCGTAGTAGCCTTTATAAATTTGGTGGACAGACATTCTATTACAGTAAAACCTGTCTAAACAGAAAAAAAATTCTTCTGTTAAAAAACCTGTTTTAAACAAAGAAATATTGGGTACAGCGCGATTCCCGTTTACACAGTTTTACTATACGTATATAACTCGATGCCACTCTTCTCAACGAAATACTTTTATTGAGAAATTTAATTACGCTTTATAAGCTTCATTGAGCGCAACTACAAATATAACAACACGCAAACAAATATCTATCTCGCTTTCTTTAATATTATCGCCTTATTTAGATAAATTATATTTATTTTCAAATATAAGTACATAAAGTTACCACTTATCAAACTGCCCGCATATATCTATATATCTGTTGAATTTACTTTGATAATTGATAGAAGTATATTTAAATAATTGCTGTTTATTTTATATATACATTCAAAGTTCTAATAATTGATAATGTAACATAAACATAATCACATATGATCAATATCTTGTATATTGCATTTTCTTCCTTACGAGTTCGTGAAAATATTGTAACATCATTCCGTATATATATTTAATTTTAAAAAATGATTTCAGTTTCGTAATTCTTACTTTCCTTGCTGTATTTAATATAACAAAGGCAATTGGTCAAAAACTGAATCTTCCCCAAGGTTTTTTGCATTTTTGGGCTAAAAGGACCTCGAAACGTCGGGGGTTTTTTCTGTATGTTTGGATGTTAGCGTGTGTGTGTGACACGATTTTGTTCACCCACTTTGAAGCTTAAGAATACCTGTTTCTTTCATCGAAACTATCTGAAATTTTACACGGAGGATTGTGTACTAGGGAATTGATGCTAGTAAATTTTGATGGTTAAAGATCGAAGGGGTGGGAAGAGAGAGGTCGTGTATCGTATCTGGAATGGGATTGAACTTAATGAAGACTTTACTCGTTATTAGCACTTAACAAATTTTTAATAAAACTCACTCCTCCTCAAAATTAAGTTTTTTTTGCCATTTTATAGTAATTAGTTACATAAAAGTCTTTTTAATAAAATATCCTAATAGATAACTCCACACGCAGTTTTAAATGTCGTTGACGGGAAAGTTAAGCAACTGGATTTTTAGATATTGTTTTCATTCATTTGTGAAAACTTTTACACTTGATTGAATATTTAATTATTATAATTAAGATAAAGCCAATGGTTTCAACTGAACACATACTTCATTCAATTACATACAATACCACCACAAAATCAGATGATGATATGTGTTCAACTTCAGTATATGTCTATGCAAGTTCCACTACTCGTACGTTCAACCCCTGGCAATAACGCATTTACAGATTAAGTAATGTATAAACCATAAAACGCGTGTCTCTATCAACTGTCCTAATACAGATTTTACTTTCGATTAATACGTAAACTACACATAAAATAAACAAATCCATATTGTGACAATTGTGCTTGGTTATTTATGCTCTGCACAAATACATAACTCTAATTAATTATTACTTTTTATTTGTGTCTTCTTAAAAGTAAGGCGTATTTTAATATATTTCACGTAAATTAAACACGAATTCCCTTCCGTTGTCGATAAATATAACGCACTCAGCCATCGAAATTCCGGTCCGTCCTCACATCTTGTACATTATTTACAATTCTAGAAGCAGCAACAACGGATTCGTAACTGGGAGGTGGTGTCGACGATCTGTCGGGTTGAGCAACGTAAGTGGGAGGTGATAGAGTCAATTCTGACATACATTCTCGATTGGAGAAACCAGTAGGAACGATGGATGACAGAGTGGAAGGTTGCATCCAAGGTGTTTGCTGCAGAGGAATGACTACAGGAAGAGTCGAACACGAGTCTTCTTTGTGTCTGATTTTTTGATATATGGTAATGGCACAGTGTGATGATTCCACACCCAATAACGATACTCCGCATATAAATATAAAAAAGAACAATGATCTCTGAGCTAAGTCGCTATCGGGACCTTGGAAGTTTATCATATAAAAATAGAATCCCAAACTAGTTGCTAAAATCCCGACAGTTATCAGTAAACATCTTTTAATGCACCACTTCTTTTCGAAACCGTTCCAACACACTTTAGTATCCGTGGCTTGATTCATGTTTACATTTCTAGAAAATATGAAAAATTATTTTATTTTTTATCTCACGAAAGCATTAAAATAATTTTTATCTGATTCCATTATCTATTGTCAATTGATCTTAACGATATAAAAATAACTTAATTATAAAGGAAAGACGATAACTTATTGCCAACGACTCAAAAATAATTCTAAAGAATTGTTTCAAAATTTTAGGGAATATCCCTATTAGTAGGGTAATTCCTGACTAATTACATTCCTAGATTTATTTTCTGTAACTTTCCACTGTTAAAACTTCTAAGAACTCTTTAATGCTTGCATTTGATGTAAGGTTGACTTTTTCCAATTTTTCCACCAGTGATCGAGTAAATAAATCTACCGAACACTAGTCGTGGGTTCGTCCCTGATCTACGGGTTGGTCACGTGCAAATTTTCGGATTGTCATCATGTTTGTAACGCTTGAATAGGGAATCAGTTCTCCGTAGTTCCTCCCTAGGGAGGGAAATCTATCATAGAGGATGCCTCCCTAGGGAGGCATCCTCTATGATAGATTTCCCTCGTCTTATGTCCGTACCTCACCAATATTTTTGCAATTTTCATTTTTAAAACGACCCACCAGTGGACAAGCGGTTTCGTTCCCCGAACACCGAGAGTTCCGTCGTGGGTCAGGACGTGGAGTTTTCCAGGTTTTCTCCACGTCTTTAACGTCTAAATAGGGGCTAATTACCCTTAAAAAGACCTACCGGAAAGCATTCCCCCAGGCAGATCGCCCAAGTTAACAAAGCAAACAAACATTTTTAAAACTCTTTCTGCGTTGTGGCCACTAAGAGGGACCATTTTTCAATACCCGTGGGGCCCACAATAGGATGATGAGGAACGGGGCCCGACGTATTCGGGAGGTAAAAAGTTTTCGGGGAGTTGCTCGCCCGGATTCGATCCCGGAACACCCAGAGTTGTAGGGGGCGAAGCATTTCTGTTCTGATAATTTTAATTTTTGCACNATTTTAAAGACCTAATTAAAACAAAAATAGGTCATAGTTTGCGATGAATTCTTATTTGCTTCCCAAGTATCTAACAGCGACTACATTGGGTGATAAAGGGGTAAAGTTTGCACTAAATTGCAGATAGCCCCTCTTGTCTTTTATTAGAATAGAATACCCGTGGGGCCCACAATAGGATGATGAGGAACGGGGCCCGACGTATTCGGGAGGTAAAAAGTTTTCGGGGAGTTGCTCGCCCGGATTCGATCCCGGAACACCCAGAGTTGTAGGGGGCGAAGCATTTCTGTTCTGATAATTTTAATTTTTGCACCTCATGTTTATATTGTGAAAATAAACTTTACTTATTAAATTTTTCATTTCAAAGTGACTTTGTAAAATTTTCCTTTTAATAAGACTGACGAAGCAATATTAAAAATAACCGAAACAAATCAAAAATTAATTTAATTTTTATCTATTTCTTAAATATATGCACAGTTTATGTAAATAAATCTTGCAAATTTTGAACTTAATGAAGACTTTACTCGTTATTAGCACTTAACAAATTTTTAATAAAACTCACTCCTCCTCAAAATTAAGTTTTTTTTTGCCATTTTATAGTAATTAGTTACATAAAAGTCTTTTTAATAAAATATCCTAATAGATAACTCCACACGCAGTTTTAAATGTCGTTGATTCATAGAAAATAAAAGGGCCCCCACACGAGCAGTCGACGACCCTGTGAGACAATACTACAAGGAATATTTTAGCCCACCAGTGCGAAGTGCGAACCCACGGCCAACAACTAACACCGGTAGTAGTTTGTCACGGGTTCACACCTCGCCAACAGACTGGCTACGTGGAATTTTCCTAGTTTTCGTTACGTTTGTAACACCCAGTTTTCCTTAGAAAGCCTCCCGGTAGATGAATCGTATATAAAAATAATAAACAAACAAGGAATATATTGAAAATTATTCCTATAATAGCAAGATTTTCGAACCGTAGAATTATATATTCTAAAGACTATTTTAAAATATAATTTATTAGTGCATTCCTAAAAGACTCCTATAACGCGAATTTTATCTAGCAAACCTATTGATGATGCAGAATTACACGCAAAGTTTTAAACGCAAATTAAACACTAGAGGTAAAGGACACTGTTCAGAATCTTACCTTTTTCTGTTGTTAAACCTCTCATTTAAAAAAAATGAGAAATATAAAGAATGTCAAATATATTTACTGCATCAGCCTGCATTATATTACGCAACAATATATTTATTTGTCAAACCGGATTTTTAAACTGGTAATAAAAAAAAAAAAAAAAACTTAAACATCATAAAGTATTAAATTCCGACTTTATAAGTCAATATTACTTATAAAATTTTATTATTTTTTAAAATGAATTTAAAGTGTAATTAATATATTTGTAATTCAAACACTCGTAAATATAGGAATGTTTTTTGTTCAGATTTTTTATTTTATTTCCAGCTTTATTCAAATCATTGGCGCGTAAAGCTTTGTATGGCACAGGAATATTTGAATGGTGAACCTCGTGCACAGTATTTACTTCAGACATTTTAATTCGGGGGAATGTTTTGGGGGAACGTTTTCTTATAAAAAAAAATTGGTTTGGGCTCCTTTTGGTGGAGATCCAAGGCAATTTCCCCATAGGATAAAGCGCCTCTGATTCAAATCTTTGCACCAAAGTGAAGCTGAAGGTGAAAGAAACGATTCAAATACTCCATTTTACTTTTCCGGCTGTTGTACAGAGGGAAAGTACGACAATCGGCCAAAATTTTTACATTTTTGGTCTAGGGAGAACTTGAAATGTCGAGAAATGCATAAAAGTTGGGTTTCTTTCTGTATACGTGGATATGTATATGGGGGCACGAGTTTATTCACTCAGTTTGAAACTTAATAACTCCTGTGCTTTCTGTCGAAAATTTCTAAAATTTTGCATAGAGGATTGTGTGTTAGAAAGAAATATTTCTAGAAATTTTCAGAAAAATCGTACCGTTGATTCGGGAGATACGGCCCTCACCTTTTTAATAGCTCCCGTACCGATCTGTAGAATCAGAAAAGTAATGGTAGCAATTATTAGTGACGAAAACAAAGTCGAGCAGCAACGATGCTAGCTTATTTAAAAACAAAATTAAGTAATTAAAACACAATTCGAACTATTAGATAAAATCTATAGTAACTCAGTGTTTAAGGGAATTCTCAGTCAGTTAATAGACAAGTAATTAAAATAGGATGAATCAAGACCGTCGTATTACTAAAAGATTAAAACAATTGAATTAGGAAGAGAAAATATAGTTTATTTACGCATTAATTGTGTAAAAAAAAATTCCAATTGACAGTGAATTCGAAAAAAAACAGGAAAAAAGTAACCGTCCGTTAGTAAAAAACAAGTTGGTTTGGCCTTGAGCTTTCACCTCTGTGACTCACCACTTTATGAAAGTCTTCCGCCTTGGACTAGACCGGATATAATATACAGTATATATATATTTTTTTTTATACCTTTTCAATCTTTATCACAAAATTTTGAACTTTTCCTCGTATATTTATCACACCAGGAATTACATTTAATCTCAAGCACGTTAAATCCGATAAGAAATTTTGCGATAATTTCGATGATTTAGATAATAAAAAGATGTTTAAATCCGAGAAAAACTAATTTTACACATTTTTAAGTGTTTGTTAAGTGATAATTCCACATAACGGAAGTTTTGTGCTGGTTTGGGGTTTACGAGTGCGCGAGTCGTAACTTAAAACATTTCCTAGTTTAGGTCACTATGGGGCAATCGTGTAGATACACTACTACAGGTGCTTTCACACCGTAATATTTTATAAATAAATAAACGTTACATTACTATTTTACTGATCACGATAAAGTTTAATGTTTATTTTATCGACTTGATATTATAAACACGAGTTGAATATAATTAAAAATCAATTTAAGCACGAATTTTTCTTAATTTCTCAACAGCGTTACAACTACATTAACGTGAAAGTTACGCTAAACAGTGACGCACCAGTAAATAATTTGGCAGCAAGATTTTTAAAAAAATAGGGATTACAAACAATACTTACTTTCATTTTTCCTATAAATTTGGCCGGATTTTTAAACTTCGCCATATATTCGTCACCGTAGAAAACACTAGGCTACACGTTGAAATTACTTAGAAACCTCGCTACTTTCTATACCTTTACACGATAATTAAACATTTTATAAGGAACAAGGGTAGATAAACAGTTCCGTTAATTCTACATTGTTTACCTTTGAAATATTTATTACACACGTGATAAACTTTATGTAAATCATCACTGCCAGCTTTAATCTTTGTGATCATTTACCTACGTTTAGAAATGGGCGAGAAAGATGTAAGATTCATCTTACCTGATACATCTAGTGTATCCAATACTATATTGTATTCTTTTTTTGACCTTTAACCTCGCTCGCTACCACCGGTTTGAAAGGGTCAATGACCCGAAAGTTATTCTGGAAATGAAATTTGATAGTACTTATTCATATGGAACGAAGGTCAGTTCAATATAACAAAGTTACGGTATCTTTAACACATTAATGATTGATATAGTTCATTTTTGATGGACTTCGTTTAGGATAATAGGACATCGCATAGTTTCCTATTTGGCCATCAGAGGGCACTATAAGGTATCAGTTTCACACACGAATACTTGGCAGCCAGTGATACACTTTGACAACGTCAAACTTATTAAAAATATTTTACGGCTTTTGCTCGAAGAGAAGCGTTTTAAAATAAAATTCACAATAATTAAACTGGTAAGTATTTATTTTTACACTTAAATATTTTCTTTCTTAATTGTCATTACAGAATAAAGTTTGCAATCTTAATTGAGAGTTAAAGAAATTGGTAGCGGTTATTATTTCTTAATTAAACTTATTTCGCCCGGTTCTAGTGTTTAAATTATAAAATAATATGATAAAAGAGATGCATAAATTAATTTTCTTACTTGTAAAATGAATATTTATACTGTTTAATTAATGCTTTTATAATGTATTTTAATGGAAATGTAACTCGAGCCCGGTGAAAACGATATTTAAAAAATTAGAAATGCAACTCGATAGCTGTAAAATACAATTAATTTAGTTCGGTAAAACTGTTTTATTGGATGCAATGTAGCACAGAAATTGTTTACACAATACAGTCATCATAATGACGAACTTACCAGGATCACATAACACATAAGGACTATATGTGACCTTACACGAGTGGGCATACCAAAGAACTTCATAAGGTGAGGGTTTGATTTGATAGTTCCTCTTTAGTGTTTGATGTGTTCTTTACATAAAGCTGATACTTATTACTAATAATACGCGTGGAAGTTGCTTGTGTTCTTTACAGAGTTCACTGCCGTTGTGTATTTTACTGTTGGATTGGTGTGCTTAACAGTTTCTGACGGCAGCAAATTTCATAACTTACCAAACACCCATTTGTATTAGCTAATATATCAGGCAGGATTCAAATTTCTGATGAAATTTTACAATTTCGTAATGAAAACTTTATAAAACAGTATAAAAAATCCCGGTAGAATGTCGAAAATTTTGATTTATTGCTTATATCAAAGTAGATTAGTAGATCTACTGGATAAACCTGCATTAAAAAAATAAAATAAAATACTAAAATTATCTGTTGCGCTGTGTTTAAATGCATCCATTTTATGCATTAAATGGGTGTATTAGGGTAAACAAAATTTACTTAATTATAAGCCTGTGTAATTATATTTTACCTGTATAATTAAACATGATGTTGCACCTAATTTTGAAATCATTACGAGCTGTAAATTTTCATTAGCATATTATCACCCCTTATCATTAGCTTAGATGATATATTCATTAAAATAACAATTAAGCAATGGGTAAAGTTAACAATTTATTACATAGTCATCACTTACAGTATAGAGTTTTATGATACAGTGGTTCAGCCGCCATAATTATGCATGTAAAGGCATATTATACAATATTTATTTTAATAAAAGCGATAAATTATTCCGTAATTTACAATAAGCCCAAAGTCCGTATAACTATAGTTCTGATATATACAATATTTTACATTATTCCTCTGTTTTTCCACATTTTATCAGTACCTCGGCGGTAAATCATCGGTAGTAAAATACCTGGGACTAAAATTATAATTTTCTGGAGAATAAGGCGGAGGTGGTATATTAAGAAGTCTTGGAGGAATTCCGGATGCATAAAGCGGGGTGGACACCGGTAGTGATGTCATTTCGAAGGTATTATTTGTACCACGGTGAGTAATAACAACAGAGTTATCAGTCTCTCTTCTCTGGCAGAGTTTTATTAGCAGGTATACAACAACTGATATCACGATATACAATCCAACACTTCCAATAACGTAGACGGCTAGAACTCTGTTTTTCTCCCACTTGTGTGTTATGGCCGCTATTAATATAGCCAGCAGGACTAGGATTAATCCTAAACCAAGGACGACAAAGGATTTCCACATCGATGACAGAATTGTCTGTCCTGTTTTCGGTATCGAAGTAGTGTATTCGTTCATATCTGTTGTGAAGCCCTGAAACAGTGTTTCAGATATTAGAATCAGTTATAAGAATTAAATTATATGAAAAATTTGACAATAGAGTATTGAATTTCGTAAATTTATTAGAAAAATGCCCTTCGAATAATATTGTGTTAAATTAATAACGATCAATGTGAGGGATGTTCTAGGTTATCCTTTGTAATCAAATACTAAAAATGTTAGTGAGGTGTGGATTATTTACTGAAAAAATTAATTAAATTTAATAAATATGCTCGTGGCATGCAGTTAAATTTCATTAAAGATAGAGGCTCGCAACTTTTAGTGACTTACGTCATTGTTACAACAAAGGATTTTGGTAAATCCTATTGTAACTTCTCAAATCAGAGGCTTAACTAAGAGAGGCGAGGGTGGGCACGTGCACCGGACGCTGACCTTGGGACTCCAAAATGAGTCCTTCGAATTGTTTTGTAATTAACATTGAATGAAGGGAGCCAGGTATGAGGGCACCCCTTATTCAACGGTACCCTCATCTCATACCTCGCACCCCTGGGCACCAAAACTGTCTCAAACAGATTACTTAATTGAGAAATTAATACAATTTCCTGCATACAATGTATAATTCTGTAAAAATCCCGTATAAATCTACCAGATACTATACCCGCTTATCCTCTATAAAACACGTTTTTTGTCTTCTAAAATTTCCTTTTCTTCCCTAAATTTTATCTTTATTCATTTAGAAGATTATAAAATTTTTATTTGTTTCATATGAATTACCATTCAATACGTACCTCTTACTATTATTAATCGATTATCTTCTATGCTGCATCTAAGAATAGCTAATGTTATTAGCAGGAAACGTTGCTAATTATAATTAAATAATTTAATTAGAAGATCAAACTTTATATATTTTAATTAATTAATTAATTATTATTATTATAATTTTAACAAAATAATTATATTCATTTGAAGCAGTTATATAACTTACCTTCAAAGAACTTTCCTTTCAGGATGTAAAGGACAAAATGAGAGGATCTTCAAGGGTAAATTCTTGATAATGGAGGTGGATAAAGGGGTGCATAATTCACGTGTTACTCGTTGAGACTAGTGAATGGACGAAAATTGTTCGTACAAATCTTTAGGGATTAATGAACAAAAATTTTAGGGCCATAACTGTCTCGTTAATTTATTATACTTAATAATGACGTAGTTTAATTGATACTTAACATGTTTTTGGATTGGATAGATAAATTATAATTTAATTCTTCGTTCAATTGTTAAATAGCGGTTAAGGCCTTTGTTCGCTTTTAAATTTAATAACCGTTAAATTAATTGATTACTTTTAAAAAAAAGCGGTGGAATTTTATTGGTTGTCGAGATTTTTAAATTTTCATTTTCTCTTTCTGGATTGGCTGGAAGTGATGAAAGCGAATAATTTATAAATTTTAAAATTTATTTAAATTATTTTTAATACCCAACTATTATAGAATTGTACGTAACTTGGCTTATGTTTTTTTTTCATTATAAATGCTAAAATAATGATAAAAATTACTCTTTGGAAGTATTCTACTGCTAACAATCATATAAATTGCTAAAAAATTAAAGGAAAAAAAATACTTTTTCCTAATTAGCATATTATAAAACACCGTTTTTTTTAAATATGAGCCATTGAAAATTACTCAACACGGTTACTTTTCTGTCGTTTTCACGTGTAAGGTTAATTAAGTTAAAAAATAAAACGTTATATCTTTTATTATCTGCAAACAATAAAATTTAAATCCTTATTTTTTTAGTCTTGTAAATCATAAGCTATAAAACGATCTTAATTATAGTAACTTGACATCTATAGATAAAAATACATACATATATATATATATATATATATTATAATAATAATTTATCCTCAGGATAGTCTGGTGACGTCATAAGTGGATATCCTTGCGCCAGATCTTTAAGTATCACGTGACAAAACGGTCACATGGTTGTGAGGTGAGTGAAGGATGAAAAACGTTTATTTTTGTTTCGTCGAAAGATCATTGTGTTCGTGTTTGTTGACAAAATATCATGGATATGCTTTAACAATTAAAGGTAATTTATCTATTGTTACGTATAACAAATAAGATTTTTTCTACTTTATCTAGAATTTCTCTAGAATTTATCTGTTATTAACACAAGCGTTATAGAACGTTCGTTAACGAGTTACCGTCAGTTTCAGCTGTCATTTTCTAATTCGTTTTTTTTCTAATTGTATTTAATTATACGTTCTTTAATATTTTAAAGACCTAATTAAAACAAAAATAGGTCATAGTTTGCGATGAATTCTTATTTGCTTCCCAAGTATCTAACAGCGACTACATTGGGTGATAAATTTGCTGTAANGGGTGGGCACGTGCACCGAACGCTGACCTTGGGACTCCAAAATGAGTCCTTCGAGTTGTTTTGTAATTAACATTGAATGAAGGGAGCCAGGTATGAGGGCACCCCTTATTCAACGGTACCCTCATCTCATACCTCGCACCCCTGGGCACCAAAACTGTCTCAAACAGATTACTTAATTGAGAAATTAATACAATTTCCTGCATACAATGTATAATTCTGTAAAAATCCCGTATAAATCTACCAGATACTATACCCGCTTATCCTCTATAAAACACGTTTTTTGTCTTCTAAAATTTCCTTTTCTTCCCTAAATTTTATCTTTATTCATTTAGAAGATTATAAAATTTTTATTTGTTTCATATGAATTACCATTCAATACGTACCTCTTACTATTATTAATCGATTATCTTCTATGCTGCATCTAAGAATAGCTAATGTTATTAGCAGGAAACGTTGCTAATTATAATTAAATAATTTAATTAGAAGATCAAACTTTATATATTTTAATTAATTAATTAATTATTATTATTATAATTTTAACAAAATAATTATATTCATTTGAAGCAGTTATATAACTTACCTTCAAAGAACTTTCCTTTCAGGATGTAAAGGACAAAATGAGAGGATCTTCAAGGGTAAATTCTTGATAATGGAGGTGGATAAAGGGGTGCATAATTCACGTGTTACTCGTTGAGACTAGTGAATGGACGAAAATTGTTCGTACAAATCTTTAGGGATTAATGAACAAAAATTTTAGGGCCATAACTGTCTCGTTAATTTATTATACTTAATAATGACGTAGTTTAATTGATACTTAACATGTTTTTGGATTGGATAGATAAATTATAATTTAATTCTTCGTTCAATTGTTAAATAGCGGTTAAGGCCTTTGTTCGCTTTTAAATTTAATAACCGTTAAATTAATTGATTACTTTTAAAAAAAAGCGGTGGAATTTTATTGGTTGTCGAGATTTTTAAATTTTCATTTTCTCTTTCTGGATTGGCTGGAAGTGATGAAAGCGAATAATTTATAAATTTTAAAATTTATTTAAATTATTTTTAATACCCAACTATTATAGAATTGTACGTAACTTGGCTTATGTTTTTTTTTCATTATAAATGCTAAAATAATGATAAAAATTACTCTTTGGAAGTATTCTACTGCTAACAATCATATAAATTGCTAAAAAATTAAAGGAAAAAAAATACTTTTTCCTAATTAGCATATTATAAAACACCGTTTTTTTTAAATATGAGCCATTGAAAATTACTCAACACGGTTACTTTTCTGTCGTTTTCACGTGTAAGGTTAATTAAGTTAAAAAATAAAACGTTATATCTTTTATTATCTGCAAACAATAAAATTTAAATCCTTATTTTTTTAGTCTTGTAAATCATAAGCTATAAAACGATCTTAATTATAGTAACTTGACATCTATAGATAAAAATACATACATATATATATATATATATTATAATAATAATTTATCCTCAGGATAGTCTGGTGACGTCATAAGTGGATATCCTTGCGCCAGATCTTTAAGTATCACGTGACAAAACGGTCACATGGTTGTGAGGTGAGTGAAGGATGAAAAACGTTTATTTTTGTTTCGTCGAAAGATCATTGTGTTCGTGTTTGTTGACAAAATATCATGGATATGCTTTAACAATTAAAGGTAATTTATCTATTGTTACGTATAACAAATAAGATTTTTTCTACTTTATCTAGAATTTCTCTAGAATTTATCTGTTATTAACACAAGCGTTATAGAACGTTCGTTAACGAGTTACCGTCAGTTTCAGCTGTCATTTTCTAATTCGTTTTTTTTCTAATTGTATTTAATTATACGTTCTTTAATATTTTAAAGACCTAATTAAAACAAAAATAGGTCATAGTTTGCGATGAATTCTTATTTGCTTCCCAAGTATCTAACAGCGACTACATTGGGTGATAAATTTGCTGTAAGTACAATTGATTAGTACTTTTTAAAACATAAATTTCAATATTTTCTCACATAAATTTCTATAGTCTCGCGGCTTCTGTGTTTAGTTTATTTTTATGTGTAGTTTCGATGGACGAATATTATTTTTGCTTACGTTGAAGTTAGAAATTTCTTGTTGTGGCTCAGGGAGGTCAAAAAGTCAGTTAACCACTGTAATATATTTTTTTATCGTTTACGTACATACTTTTGTGAAGTCGATTATTCGGCACTTTGTTGTCTGTTTACGATTTATCTCCACATGTGTTCTAAATCCTGCTTACGATTTGTGTTTACAACTTCCCCAGAAACACGCGAGATACGGTTAATTGACTTTTGGACCAGTATGCGTTTAAAATGTTACTAAACTTATACATTGTTAGCGTAAGCCACGGTGATAAAATATAAGTTTCTTACTCGCTGGCAGTCTCAACAAGAGACTCGCATTCAAAGTACTGTACCTTTCACAAATGTGTCTGTCGCAAGCTTTTCTTTTATACAAACAGTAAAAGTATTGAGTTTCTTATTGCAAATGTGATAAACTGTAATCTAAATACTAAAAAAAATAGTAAAAATTACAACTTTTGTGATATAAAACCGCATTAAACCGACATTACTCTTATGAAATTAAGTAATAATTTTTTTATTTTTATTTAATTGTAATAAACGAGTAATTACTTATTGTGGCGTCACAATGCAAGGCTGCAATTTCGAATCATATTTCTATTTTAAAATTCACGCCACTTCCGATTTAAACCGGAAGTTCGTACGTAGCTAATCGGAGCCTCCAACCACTTTCATATCTGGTCTCGATTTTTTTTATCTATCCAACTCCGTTCTCGAAATTAAGGACGGACGAACGTACAGACGGACGATAGTAGGTCTGCAATTTGAAAATTGTAGTCCAATAAAGGTGTTTAAGTAATAAAGAAGTAAAGATCCGCGCGCATTTTGTTAATATTTTACACGAAAATAATATAATAATGACGTAACAATATTTAAGTACGGTTGAGACAATTTCTATATTTGTGTACGCTCGTATGTCGTCACGTATTTACTTTGTTTCGTATGTTTTTGAAATTGCTTTCGAATGTCTTATAATTTATTTCGGCCTTATTGTTTAAGTGACATGTATATCTAACAGGATAGACGAATCGTAAATCAAACATATGTACAGTGTATACGAAAGAATCACAGGTACAGTACGTGTACTTTGTACTGATAGAATATATTTACGTTTTAAGGCGGTATCTGCAGCTGATAATTGTAATAAGAGTAATTAAGCTTTTTTACTAAAGGGATGAAACAATTTTCATGCATTTTTATGAAAATCAATATAGTATTTTATATACATACTTGCAGCGTTGCTTACAGTCTCGACAAGACATAATTCAATTTTACAATATCAAACCGCCCGAAATAGTCTATTATAACTTTTCCTTTGAAGTTATGTAGAACGTTACACATACCAAAGCTATTGTTTTATCGAAAAATACGGTCCATTCTATAAAACAATAGCTACGAATCTCACCATAAAAAAACTGTAAATTAGCGTATTATACAGTAACGATAGAATATATATCTTCCATCCTTCGTGAGGACCTTAGTTATATGAATTGTTCGTGCGTATAAGTGCAGTGTTTTTATGAAAAATGGCGTGAAATGTTGTCTTTATGAAAATTCTTATATAATACTTTTGTTTATTTATTACTCGTACGAAAACAATACACTTACATAACTGTTTTTTTGTGCTAGTAATACAGACAAACAATAAATAATTTCATAAGGGATACGATGAGACTGCTAAAATTTTAAAAAAATGTTTACAAATAATATGGCCTAAAGCTATATTTTTCGTTATTTAAATCAGTTATTCAAGAATGCAAACGTGTTGACTCATTGTAATGACGAGTGTACATACCGTACAGACGGCTATTATTACGGGCATTTATATAGACAAACACGTCTATATATGTTATATAAAGGAGGGAATTATTATAATTTATATATTTTTGATTTGTTTAAGCGCTTTTTATAACAATAGATTTACCAAAATAGAAGACGTTTGCGTGTGGAGTAGCCATTTTTTTTTCATTTGGCTGGCCAGAAATGATGGATGTTTCAAGTTGTACGGCGTTTTCTTCCTGCGATTTGCATTAAAATTTTCAGAAGAATAGAATTATTGTTCTCTTACCTATATAATGAAAGAGGGTACAAGGTTTAAGAAGATGACCGTGACCTAGGTCGTCGTTCCATACCGATTGATGTTATTGTAGAATCTATAGTAATTTAACAAATTATACTCAGTTTTCGATTATTGTATTGCGAGGAATTATGTTACAGTAATCAATTCGTGTTACTGTTCGAGTTTTACGTATAAAAACAGCAAATGGATTCATTTCAAGTGCTCGAATGAAGCAGGATCTTGTTCTCGGTGACTGTCTTATAATGGCTTCCTGAAAGAAACGAGTTTCGGGAAGCCAAAGACAGAAAATGTAGAGATTCTCCAACAAAAACTTCTACGTTTTAACGCTAATTTCTTCTCTATTACTTCCTGTACGTTACTGTGATGCTGAAGGAAACGGCGAGTTTTCTTCTTGATTCGTGTTTATTCGAGTAAATATACGGTCTTTAAGCGGGCAAATTTTCTATGTTTTACTAAAGTGTGTTCTTAAACTAACAAGTAAGTATAGAGTTTTATTCTCTACGCTTGACTACAATCATAAAACATTTCTTTATAGCTCTTACATATACTTTTGAGCACTTTGTTGGCCTCTTTATTCATAGAGTTATTACACCGTCACTAGACACAAGATCATCCCGAGTTTCTAAGGTTGATCTTGTGTCCAGTGACGGGGTAATAAGTCTAAGAATAAAGAGGCCAACATAGCGCTCAAAAGTATATACCAAGGCTAGACAAGAAGCGTATTATAGTAGCTCTTACATATTTAAATAAAGAGAATTGTTAAACTAGTTCCTCTATAAATGGAAATAATTTAGCTGTTCTTCTCCGTGAATCTCCTTAAGCTGTTTTCTGTAAACTCCATAATTAAATAGTCACTATTTTTTTCTCTAAGATCCTTCTGTCTTCTATAATAGATGAGTCCTAGAGAAGAAATTTATGGTTGCTTACGAGTTATTGTTCCTTAACAAAGGCAGGAACTATCTCGTGTTCGAAAAAGGAATTCTCTAACAGACAGACACAATTTCCTTTTCTATAAAGCTTTTGTATTTGTACATCAGTGCTTTAGAAACCCGAGATGAATACATTTTTGAAAAATTTATATCGCGGTTCGGGTCAAGAACGAAAGAATTAGATTACAAGAAAATAAAAAAAGGAATAAACACGACCTTGGTTAGAAGAAAGCCATTACAAAATCGCTATCCAGATTATTTTCTCCACATTTTTACCTTTTTTGGACGGATGTTGATGAAGTGGATAACCTCATAATTACTTCGAATGGTGCTAACTTTTATTAGGTTTTTTTTATATTAAAAATATTATGAAATCTATTTAAAGAATTTGCTATTATTGTCATACATTTAATGAGAATACTTTTTTCTTGATTTCGAGTGATGAGTAATCTGTTATGCTAGATATTTTTTATGTTTACTGTAATATTTCCTGAGCGATTTTTATTTTTGTCCTCTTTGTGTCACTTAAGAAGCTGGTCAACTATGATTTAATCAGAACGTTTCCACTTTTGAAATATATTTCATTCACATGATGCAATATTTGGGTTACATTCTAATGATATACTTCCTATAGGAAGATTACATTACAAAGTATCAGATTATTTACGGATTTAAAGCATTATGTATACAATTTAACACTTATTTTATTATCGTAGAAGAATTTGCCGCATTTCTACATATATTTTTCTTTATTTTACAGAATGGAGAACGAAAAAAATGTGAAGGAGAACGAGAAAAGTTCCAAAATATCATTCAGTATCATCGAGTTTCTGGGATTATTTCTGATATTGATTGGGACTTTAATAGCTATATTTTCGCCCCGTATGGGCGATATTGAAAATACTATGGCAGCTTTGGGATACATCATTATCATCTTGGGCATTCTAGTTATATTTATAGGCTGTATATTCAGTGTATTCAGCGATAGAAAGAAAAGTAAAGAGAAGGACGAAGAAGCTGCTGCCTCCGACAATCCCGCAAACGTTGATATATCAAATTCTCCCTCTAACGAAGATTTATCACGTATGAATCAGTGTAACATTGAAATGCCCTTCGAGCAATCTAAACTGGCTTTATCATCGCCATCGACGTCAGAAGATGGACACAGACTTTCTATAGATGAACCTCCCCCTTCTTACTACGAAGCAGTTGGAATTTCGTCGTGATTAGTCAACCATTTTTTATATAATTAATTTTATATTCTTTTATTCTGGATAAAGGTGGATTGATATAGTTTGATTTTAAGATAAATATCGTCCTGCTTTAATTTATGGTGCAATAAAGTTTTGAAGTGGAACGTGTTGTGTGTCACGAACACTTTTTCAATGTCCTGTACGTTTTCTAGCTTTAATTCGTGTAAAACGTTTGTTTCGAGGAATATTTATTACGCAAAATTACCTTTTTGTATGTACGAATTATAGTTTTAAGTGTGTTTAATTAATTAACAATTTGTAAATTTTTGTACGGTTTATTTTTATGCTTTACGAAACTATTCAATCTGCCTGTTAATCAAGTTCCTAGCAGTTTTTATATACAGTCGAACCTCCGATAACGTCCACCTGTAAACAGCGGCCATTTTTTACGTGATTTTGTATGCACTTTTATTAGAATAACAATAACAATCATAATAATAACTTGTAAACAACGGTCACGTCAGAGCAGGGGCTACTTTTTATGTGTCCCCCTCGTTGGCCGTCGTTCACAGGTTTGACTGTATATTAAACGGAACTAAAACGTGTTTCTGGTGCTAAATAGTCATCATTCTTTAAATCGAATTACTCAATTTTTCTTTTATTCGAATGAAAACAATCAGGTCAAGCAATTAAAATTTGCTTTGTTATCACGAATTAGATCAAATATTGTTTATACATCCGATATTTCCTTACTTTGTATTGACCCTTTTTCTTTAAAAAAGTATAAAAATGATCAAATTTTATATGCAAAAATTCTTTTAATATTAATCTGGTGTATTTTATGCAAAGGTTTGTACATACAACTACCCCAGGACCATTGTGAAACTTCAATGACCCGAGTCATTGCTCAAAAGTTTGACCCAATTAGATCAGACACCTCAGGGATTTTATGTTCGAATATACGTTTTGCTATTGTATATGTGTACGTCTTTATATAAATAAATTATGTACAAATAAATAAATATAAAAAAAGTGTGAAAAATTGTTTAAACAACTCAAAAAGCTTTTATTTTGTTACGTTTTCGGAACACTACTATATACATAAAATAAAATCTTTTAATTTAATGCTACGTATAAACACACAGACGTTTTTTTTTTTTTTATATAGAGCCATAAAAACTCAAATTTCACGGCATGTAAGCTCGGTTAGTGGCCTCTTCGTACGTAGGGGGTGGCTGATTTAAGTAAGCTGTCGATGGTGTATTACTCCACACGGACGAATATAACATGTTACTTTCTGGCGCCAAAACTATGGACGATGTCGATGCTTCGTTTGTAGTAAAATTAGGGGAATTTTGCTCTATAGTCCAGGCCGGTTTGCATATCGATATCCCATTTGTGTTATCAAACGTGGCACGTTGTGGAAGTTGATGGCTTTCTTCTTCCTCGTTACTTTTTAAAGTGTGATTTACGCATCCAAAAAGCATAAACAATATGCCAGAACAGAATAGAACTAATCCCGTTATCTTCCCGATAAACGATAACCATAGGGACGACATCAAGAATATGACCACCCCCATTAACACGAATGTTAAACCAATTTTGACAAACGTGTGGGAGCACATTTTATAATCTGTAATTAAAACACAGTAGCTTATAACACAAAATAATACAGTTCTACATAAGAACTATCTACAACTACGCAGATCGATCTTACGTAAACGTAACCAAAGTTGGTAGCGAGAACTTTACAGCCTACCTTTATGCTAATCTACGCCAACACGTAACGTTACTAACTTACACGCGTAAACACCATAATTAAAGGGAAGTTAATATAGTAACATAATCAGGAAAGATGTATTGGTAATTTAAAAGTATAATTCTGCATAAGAAAGGGAAAATAACTCACCGATTTTGATTTGTGGGATGCACATCCCATAACTAAAATCGCACAGGTGGTACGTCACGAGTGTAACAGATGGTAGATATTAATGAGTAAACAGAAATACCTAACGATAGCGGTCTACTACTATAGTAACAATAAAATCTATGCTTATATAAAGGAGTCATAACCGATTTATAACACCTAAACTATAAATTAAAATATACATTTGGCAGTCACCATTTACTTGTTAATAGTTTAATATAGCACCGAAAATCGTTAAATTAAATTAATTGTCTTAAATTCTTAATTACAATTAAGCTCTGAAAAAAAATTTAATTGCTAATTGGGCTCGTGTTCTTGATTTTTTCAATTAAGTGACGCCTTTTTAAGTATAAATAATTGGCATTATTTATGTAGGCTTTACGCTGAATTCGTTAGCATAATTTAAATGTATTAATATTTTATAAATTTTTTCAATTAATAAGTTTTATCTATAATTGTATGCAATTTATCTTCGAAATGATTGCTCAATACTTCAGGATATTCCGAAAAAATACATAAATATATTTTAATGCTAATTCTTGTATAAATCACGTGTTTTTTATTTCAAAAAAATTCTGATGGAATAATAATTAAAAAATTAATTTAATAAAGTAGATTAAACAAGGTTTCTTAAGAATGTGTTGTTTTATATTGATAATTCCCTCTCCAAAAAAATGTTTGAAAGTTCATTTTAGGAAAATTAAATACAGTCAACCTCCTATAAAATTGTTGATAATTCCGTTTTATATGAATTCCATGTTGTACGAGTCACTTAGATTTTACAAATACGTGTGCCGTATTTGTAAAATCTAAGTGACTCGTACAACATGGAATTCATATAAAACGGAATAATCAACAGTGTTATAGGGGGGTCGACTGTATTGTAGTGTTGATTTTTTCCCAAACTTTTCACAAATAAATGTAATTTCTACACTCAAAATTCTTCGAAACAAATTAAAATTTCATTTAATTTTTTTTATAAATTCCAACATTAAACAGGTGTGTTCTTAATTGTTACGTCGTAATCTACCCGACTGAATATTTGAAGTTTTCAACTGTAATTATTTTTATTGTGTCATTAATTTAAATACTTTTTTTTTCTATTAAAAAATTTAAAAAGATAATTTATTTTTATTTGTTTAATTCTTTTTCTTTATCTGTTTTTATGCAGGGAAAAAATATATAAAAATATATTCGTTAAGTAGAAGAATTAATTATGTTACAAAAATTTATAATTTCAATTTAAAAAAAAAAATAAGTAAATAAAGAGAAAACTTATTTAAAATTAACACGATAAACAATATTGGTGAATAAATTCAAAACAATTCATAAGCGGATAAACGTGACTAACCGAGAATTCCCCGACTCTCTACGAAAAAAGGAAAACAAATAGATAAAAAAAAACTAAATAAAACGAAAGAAGGGGAATTTTTATATAAACAATCACCTAATTTAAAAAGATCTGTAATTATTTTACGTATGTTCCTCACAAAGGAGCATACCCGATGTCGCTCTTCGAATAACCGACGTATTCGAGGGGAATTACAAGGGAGCATACGTTTTTCAACTAAAAAACTTGCTATAAAGACGTATGTGCAAGAAATTTTTTGCCCATAAATCCGGTCGATGATACTTAGATGCGTCACTGCTGTTGTTTTTTTTTCAAATTTTACGATATTCCGACCCGTTTGCACAGACAGTCGACCGGAATGACTGATATTGTGAAGAGTATTAAGTTCGATTGCCAAGACACTCCTAGAAATACAGTAAACAAGTAGGCCTATATCCAGTGCTTACAAAGTTTTTGATACATTATCACATATTCTAGGTTAGTTAATAAGGAGGGTAGTTTTCCTTGACTTCGGATTGAAAATTTCCCTTCGTAAGTCATCAGCTTTAGAATATGCAAACTGGTGTCCTTCGCGTGATATTGTTTGAAAAGATCTAAACAATATCTTTAAGCAATTAATTACCGTTTTAATGAGTTTATTTACTATAACCCAAATAAATAACTTATTAATATTTACAATTTACTTTTCGTCTTTTAAACCTCTATATGTTTTAAAAAGCGATATTTTAATATATTAAAATAAAACGAGTAAAGAAATCGCATCTTGACGTAAGAAACAAAATGGCGGATTAAATACAGTATTACAGCATCATCTATTAAGTTGTAATTTATATGACTAAAAGAAATCATTTGTTCTGTATAATATAATTTCTGTACGTTAAAAACCGGAATACTCTTAGTAATTTAATGAAAAAAGCTATTAATTTAAGCAGGTGCACGAATCACGATTTTATAGTAATAATCTCGATTCGTAAGAATGGAAATTGCACCGTTCACCAGATGGCATTACGTGCCCGATAACCTTAAATGCACTTAATGCCATCTGGTGGAAAAATACTCAATCTCGCTGACGAAGTCGGTGTATTAAATTCTTATTAAGGAATATACAAAATATACTCGATATTATTAATTCTGTCTTTTGTAAAAGAAAATATATCTGTTTTAAAAGAGTTAATAAACACGTATCGTATGTATAAATATTTCTGTATAATGTAAAAATTTCTTGTATAAGCCTAACACCGAGGCCTGACTTTAGATTTGTGTGTCCTTTCAAAAAGACAAACTGCACAAAAAAGTCATAAAAAAATCTTTCCTTTTACCAGATAATAATATATTTAAGAGCGAAGCCTGTGCCTCGGTAGGGCGAAGCCTTAAGGCTTATTAAGCTGTAATTTGTGACTGCGTATTGCCCTGTTTATCAGTCATCTCATTTTACAATCTAGATTACTGCTTCTTATAATCGAATTACTGTTATTAAAATACAAGTTTTTATTTAATTACCATCAAGCATTTTATTATTTCAGTTTCTTTCTGACACAGAAGTTACATTTTAATGTGAATGAAACAAATATATGAAGCTTTTTGTATTGTTCTTACTTATAAACACTTATAAACAATAAAAATTCGTGTGTCCTAAAAAACTCGTTAATTTAGAACTTTGATCGAACAAAAAATGTAAACAATTTCTCTGAATCATCGTAATATTTTTTTAAAAATGATTTTACTTTGTGTCGAGTCATTTTACAGACTTTTCTTCTGTTAGACTGGTCAGAAAGACTTTATTGTAATCAGACAATATAAGTTATTCGTGATGTATTTCTAAATATTAAGGTAAATTTACGATTTTTTATTTGGATATTCTGTTTTTTTTTAAAGGAATTTAATGTAAAAAACGGTACTTAGTTTAATTAGATTTGTGCTGTTCTTGTAATCTTATACTAATTTTTTTTTTTCAAATAAACACATAAATATTATCTATATTAGGGTTTTATTGTTATTTTCTATTTCTGTGTACAGTGAAACCTGTATAAGCTGGAATTGCACAGTACAGAATACTTTTTGGTGGCTTGACAGATTTTCTTAACATTGGAAATCGCTCCGTTCCGAACAATTTTTTGTGTTTAGGAAAGTTTCCGTTTTATTCGGGTTCCCTTTAGTCGGGTTTTATTCTATTTATACGCAACTTATAATTTTAAAAGTACATAAATATGTTATGTTACTAGAAAACAAGAACGAGAAGAAACTGTTGAAACGACAATAGTGAAAGAATTACTGTTGCGCTTTCGAATTTTTATTATTAATTTTTCTTCTTTTCTTTTTTAAAATAATAAAAATTAGGTTAAACAATTTCGTATTTACAAATTCTACTTGTAAATTAGCTTAGTTCTCGGGTGACACGTTCTGCTTTCACTCGTTATACAAAGGGGAGTAAGACCCGGCTCGTTCACACTCTCTTCCAATTCCAAAAATATATATGATTAAATTCAATAAATGAATAAACACATATTTTACCACTTATCTGCACACGTGATGGCACAATAAGCACTACGTAAATCGATCCATCTAAGAGTCAGGCCTATCTACAATGGATGTAAGCGTGGCCGATTATAAAGCCTACAATAAACGATGCCACGCGAAAATTAATCCAGCTTCAAGTATAAAAAATAATGTTAATTTTTATTCGTTTCTTTTCTTTTAATATAAAAAATAGTATATACCGGTAACGAATCTGTTGACCAATCGTGGAATTTCTGATTTCTGTGCAGATAAGTCACATTAATCGATCTAAAACGTGCGAAAATAGGCAAAATACTGTTAATCGACTTTTTTACTACTACTACACCGTCACACCATTCCCTAAAGGGGTGGCCAAGAAAAAATAGATTTTCTATGCACGTCACTGCAAACTTCACTCCTCTGAAGAACATCATACAGGCAGGGCATAGCATACCAGCAGGAGCGGATCTAGGTTTTTCGGGGCCTAGGGCTTATTGAGATCTTTTTAAGGGAAACTGGGCTTATTGAGGTCTTTTTAAGGGAAACTGGCCCTATTTAGGCGTTACAGAAGTAGAGAAAATCCGAAAAACTTCACATGGCCAGCCCGTCCGAGCGGCGCGAACCCACGACCGAGATCCAAATGTTATGGGTACGAAGACCGCTTGGCCACTGGTAGGCACTAGTCGTTAATGAAAAGTATTAAAAATGTATGATAATAATTCAATTTTTGTGAACCCTTGACATTTAGGGGCCTAGGGCTTAAGCCCTATTAGTCCCTATGTAGATCCGCCGCTGCACACCAGGAATTTTCATCCGCTCTTTCAAAGTGGGACTACTAAACCCCATCCATACTTGACAACCGTTCCGCCTATGCATACCTCTCGCTTCTTCAACATTCGTGATTAATTTCATACACTCTCACTCACAATCTGTTTCTGTATTCTATTTTTCCAATTAGTAAATTAAGAAAAATAACTTTTGATTTGTTCTTTTTTCTTTCAGATTAAGAAAAATCCAAGCATTAGAATCAATAATAAGCAAGGTGAAAGAGATGAAATCATTGATTTTCGCATTTTTGTTTTTATTCGCAAGAATTATTACCATTTTGATAACACTTTACAGCGATGATCTAATTCTACAAGCGATAGCATCATCCGTAACAAACATAATTATAGGCTTAATTTTGATAGTTTTTTGTATTATAG